AAGATCTAAATAATTACCTACTACTATATATAGGGGAGACAAGATCTAAATGTTTACCTACTACTACTGTATATAGGGGAGACAAGATCTAAATGTTTACCTACTACTGTATATAGAGGAGACAAGATCTAAATGTTTACCTGCTACTGTATATAGAGGAGACAAGATCTAAATGTTTACCTACTACTATATATAGGGGAGACAAGATCTAAATGTTTACCTACTACTGTATATAGGGGAGACAAGATCTAAATGTTTACCTACTACTATATATAGGGGAGACAAGATCTAAATGTTTACCTACTACTATATATAAGGGAGACAAGATCTAAATGTTTACCTACTACTATATATAGGGGAGACAATATCTAAATGTTTACCTACTACTATATATAGGGGAGACAAGATCTAAATGTTTACCTACTGTATATAGGGGAGACAAGATCTAAATGTTTACCTACTACTGTATATAGAGGGAGACAAGATCTAAATGTTTACCTACTACTGTATATAGGGGAGACAAGATCTAAATGTTTACCTACTACTGTATATAGGGGGAGACAAGATCTAAATGTTTACCTACTACTATATATAGGGGAGACAAGATCTAAATGTTTACCTACTGTATATAGGGGAGACAAGATCTAAATGTTTACCTACTGTATATAGGGGAGACAAGATCTAAATGTTTACCTACTGTATATAGAGGAGACAAGATCTAAATGTTTACCTACTACTGCTATATAGGGGAGACAAGATCTAAATGTTTACCTACTGTATATAGGGGAGACAAGATCTAAATGTTTACCTACTGTATATAGGGGAGACAAGATCTAAATGTTTTACCTACTCTATATAGGGGAGACAAGATCTAAATGTTTACCTACTGTATAAAGGGGGAGACAAGATCTAAATGTTTACCTACTGTATATAGGGGAGACAAGATCTAAATGTTTACCTACTACTGTATATAGGGGAAACAAGATCTAAATGTTTACCTACTACTATATATAGGGGAGACAATATCTAAATGTTTACCTACTGTATATAGGGGAGACAAGATCTAAATGTTTACCTACTGTATAAAGGGGGAGACAAGATCTAAATGTTTACCTACTGTATATAGGGGAGACAAGATCTAAATGTTTACCTACTACTATATATAGGGGAGACAAGATCTAAATGTTTACCTACTGTATATAGGGGAGACAAGATCTAAATGTTTTACCTACTGTATAAAGGGGGAGACAAGATCTAAATGTTTACCTACTGTATATAGGGGAGACAAGATCTAAATGTTTACCTACTACTGTATATAGGGGAGACAAGATCTAAATGTTTACCTACTGCTATATATAGGGGAAACAAGATCTAAATGTTTACCTACTGCTATATATAGGGGAAACAAGATCTAAATGTTTACCTACTACTATATATAGGGGAGACAATATCTAAATGTTTACCTGCTACTGTATATAGGGGAGACAAGATCTAAATGTTTACCTACTGTATATAGGGGAGACAAGATCTAAATGTTTACACACTACTATATATAGGGGAGACAAGATCTAAATGTTTACCTACTGTATATAGGGGAGACAATATCTAAATGTTTACCTACTACTGTATATAGGGGAGACAGGATCTAAATGTTTACCTACTGTATATAGGGGAGATAAGATCTAAATGTTTACCTACTGTATAAAGGGGGAGACAAGATCTATATGTTTACCTACTGTATATAGGGGAGACAAGATATAAATGTTTACCTACTACTATATATAGGGGAGACAAGATATTCCTCTGTACAGTGATGTGTTAACCTTTTTTTGACATTCAGGACATGATGTTTGTCATTATACATATAGGTTTTGAAATTGATATCACCAGATAAGTTGTTGCCAGGAAATAATGATCTATGTATGTATCTATATCACACTTTAATTGTTATTTGTTAAGAAGAGGTGAGAAATTACACAGCTTCTTTCAATGGATATTGATCAGGTGTAAAAGTCGGAGTAGTAATGGTGGTAGATATTGATGAGGGAGACAAGCATACACAAGATTAGGCCAAGACAAGCTAATACACTTCTTCTGATTCAATGCTTAAATCATTGTCATTAACAGCTGATGCACCCCACTGTCATCCAGAGCTCAGCCCACTGTCATCCAGAGCTCACCCCACTGTCATCCAGAGCTCAACCCACCGTCATCCAGAGCTCACCCCACCGTCATCCAGAGCTCAACCCACCGTCATCCAGAGCTCACCCCACTGTCATCCAGAGCTCAACCCACTGTCATTCAGAGCTCAACCCACTGTCATTCAGAGCTCAACTCACTGTCATCCAGAGCTCAACCCACTGTCATCCAGAGCTCAACCCACTGTCATCCAGAGCTCACCCCACTGTCATCCAGAGCTCAACCCACTGTTGTCCACAGCTCTGAACCTCTGTTGTCCACAGATTTGAACCTCTGTTAATCACAGCTCTGAACCTCTGTTGTCCACAGCTCTGAACCTCTATTGTTCTCATCTCTGAAACTCTGTTGTCCTTAGCTCTGAACCTCTGTTGCCCACAGCACTGAACCTCTGTTATACACAGCTATGAACCTCTATTGTCCACAGCTCTGAACCTCTGTTGTTCACAGCTCTGAACCTCTGTTGTTCACAGCTCTGAACCTCTATTGTCCTCATCTCTGAACCTCTGTTGTCCTTAGCTCTGAACCTCTGTTGTTCACAGCTCTGAACCTCTGTTGTCCACAGCTCTGAACCTCTGTTGTCCACAGCTCTGAACCTCTGTTAATTACAGCTCTGAACCTCTGTTGTCCACAGCTCTGAACCTCTGTTGTCCACAGCTCTGAACCTCTGTTGTCCACAGCTCTGAACCTCTGTTGTCCACAGCTCTGAACCTCAGTTGCCCACAGCTCTGAACCTCTGTTGTCCACATCTCTGAACCTCTGTTGTCCACAGCTCTGAACCTCTGTTGTCCACAGCTCTGAACCTCTGTTGTCCACAGCTCTGAACCTCTGTTGCCCACAGCTCTGAACCTCTGTTGCCCACAGCTCTGAACCTCTGTTGCCCACAGCTCTGAACCTCTGTTGTCCACAGCTCTGAACCTCTGTTGTCCTTAGCACTGTGTTAGAAAGGATGTAAAGAATACCGGATAAATTTGATACAAAGAATCAATAAGAATCTTGAGTGATTGCCTGGTATAGATGACTTATATTGGTTTGGCCTTTATTCCTTAATCCTCTTTGTCTCATTGATAGTAATTTTGTGATGGCTGGCCTGAAGCATCCAACAGCAGGTTTCCTAGGGTCAAGGCTTCAGCTTTGGAGAATGTTTCTTTGTAAGGATGGCTGGGATGTTTGTGAGATGTAGTGTATGAGGGGTTTGTATAGGGTGGTTTTTACCAATAATTAAGGATATTTCTCCATTACATGTTTGGTTCCTCGTTCAGTGTAAGATCTGGATGTTTTTAGTGAATTGTGTATGACAGTAGACCTGGTTGAATTTTAGTAGTTTTTGTTAGCCTTATCCTTTTTTGTGGAAAAACTGGAGTTTATAAAATGTGTGTATGGACAGTGGACCTTGTGGAGCCATTGTAGATGATGCTTCCTCAGTTCTTTCATCATTGAGAAGTGTCTAGTCATTGCTACTTAAACCAGCTCTGTCTTTGCTAACAGGTTTGGCTTTTAAAGTTATCTGTGATTCCGGTAATAGGCTCAGGAATAGGTGACAGTGGTAATGTTAAATGCCTGCTTTATACCTAACAAGGAAGTCATGTCAAGTACCTAGAGTAATGATGTATCATAGTCAACATTCCTTTGTAGTATTTTTGATATTCTATAAAAAGGCACATCGATAATGAGCATTCAAGTCCCTGCTCAACATTCTAATGTGACTGCCATTTCAAAATTTACACGGTGTATCAAGTCAGTTGTTTTTATTTTTGTTTAAAAGTCGAAATGTTTTCTTTAAATATCAAGATTAAGTTACAAATATGATGGCTTTGGTCATATGATTGTTACTGCTGTACAGATTGATCATGTGATCATCACTTTTACAGATTGGTCATGTGATCATCACTTTTACAGATTGGTCATGTGATCATCACTTTTACAGATTGGTCATGTGATCATCACTTTTACAGATTGATCATGTGATCATCACTTTTACAGATTGGTCATGTGATCATTACTTTCACAGATTTGTCTTGTGATCATCACTGCTGTAAAGATGTGTTATGTGATGGTAATTTTGAAAATTTGGTCATTGATGTTAACTTATTAACTTTGAAAGTTATTTCATTGGCATGTGACTTTAGTTAGGGACTGGTTGCAGTAGCAACAGAAAATATGATGGGAAGTGAGTGTTTGTGAGTAGTCTGGCAGATGGACGGGGCTGAATCAGGTGTGGCAGAGTCCATTGTGGGGTTGGACACCCTGATAGACCTACAAGGCATAGCTCTATTGTTAGGCCAGGTAACAACACAGGGCTTCAAAATTAATGTTGTTAAACCTCAATCAGGATGATTTGTCTAGATTCATCACGCTACAGACCTGCCATATACAGTGCCACTATTTAGCTGTTTCTTCTACTGTTTGTGCCATGTGGTCAAATGTTTTCACTGTACAACTCTGACAGAATTTCTTCTAGAATGCTACAAGGCTGATAAAACACAATGTCACAAGGCTGATAAAACAATGTTACAAGGCTGATAAAACACAATGTTACAAGGCTGATAAAACACTGTTACAAGGCTGATAAAACACAATGTTACAAGGCTGATAAAACACTGTTACAAGGCTGATAAAACAATGTTACAAGGCTGATAAAACACTGTTACAAGGCTGATGAGAAAAATCAGATTATGTACTCATTATAATATATATATTACCTGTTGTAAAGGAACAGGAATTTATTGAAAGCTATGTTTTTTGTTTATAAGTAGGAGATCCCGCTGTTAATGTTTCATTGTTCTCTTGTTTTGTTGTTTTAGCTGAAGCAGCTGCTGACGAATGCGTTTGATGACTTGATTGATGATGATGAGTTCTCCATCACATCAGATGAGGGCGGTCCGTCAACCAATGCCAGCCTTCATCTGGGCACCAAGATAGAAAGTCCTGGGTAGATATCTTTTTTTCTTTATGATAAAATTTACTGCGTACTCACTGACCTGTCTAAACATTGATCAGTAGATGTATATAATTTTGTTGAGCTGTGATGAGATTTTGAAATATAGCTTCAAATAATTTTGTAACACTAATTCATGTAAATGCAGAAAAAGAACAAAAAATGATCATTTTTCACAATGCATGAGGTACAATGGGTTATGTCTAGATCAGTTGTAGTATTACTAGAAACGTTTAAAGGAATCATCAGACATTGTTAACACTATATGATTCATTGTCTTTGTATACAGAGATGGAGCTGAGTCTGAAACATTCCTGGAACCCCGTGGTCAGTGGGCTCCTGTAGCCTACCAGGGCATGCCTGCCTCCGCTCCTGTCATCCCTCCCCAATCTCTTGCCACCATATATGAGGCCTCATCAGTGAGAAGTTCCCAGGAAAATCCACTCAGAAGCTCACAGGATATGTCTGTCCGTGGTTCACAGGATCTGCTGCGGAGCTCACAGGAAGACTTCTCAGTTAGGAACTCACGAGACCAGCCATTACGCAGTTCCCAGGAATACAGAGAGCAGCCTCTAAGGAGTTCACAGGAATACCGGGATCAACCACTGAGGGGGTCGCAGGATTACCAACAGAACTACCAAGATTATCACCAAGCAGGGGGAGGGGCTTTGAACTCTGGTGAAGAGTTCCAAAGTGATGGATACCATAGTAACAGTGAACAGGAAAGTGCTACACCTAGTTATAACCTAAATCCTCAGGCTTTCGATTGGATAAACCAGGCAACACAGGATAGTCAGGTGATTCAGCCACAGCCAATGGGAGTGCAGGGTGGATATGGGGGCTATCAAGGTGGGGTAATTGATGAACGTGTATCAACTCGATATCCTGACCTACCAGTCCGACAGGAGACTGAGGGGGGCAACAATGTTGGGCCTCCCAATGACCCCCAAACATACCACCTCCACCACTACGCTGAGGATCAGCCAAGGGGAGGCAACTTCCAGCCATACACAAGTTTACCTCATTCTCAAGGGTATCAGACCACAGGGGTCACACATGACTTCTATAACCCTTCAACAGTTAGTGATGATAGACATTACCATACCAACAGTGCTGACCCTTATGTATCCCATGATGAGGGTCAAAGTCATGACCAGTATGGGTCATATGACCAGGCTCGAGGTCAAGGGAAGTTGTTTGGATCAAAGGAATACCAAGAGGACTACAGAGTACAGTACCAGAGAAGACAAGGTCCAACAGGGGAGAGAACTGAGGAGGAGGACCGATCCCCCAGACGGGAAAAACCCAAAGCCCCAGAGGAAAAAACTGGTATGTTATCAACACAATTAGTTTATGTTGATGAGACAGAAATACATTGATATAAGATAGTCCTTGTAGTCTTTGTAGTAAGGGATTTTTATAATTTTTTTTTTGTGAAAAACATTTTTAAAACCAAGTAAATTTGAATGCAATCACAGGGCTTTCACACCCCATTTTGGGACTGGGGCCCAGGGCCCTTAGAATTGGGAAAAATAACGTTGTTTTCCTTAGAATTGGGAAAACTTGGGGTCTAAATTAGGAAAAAAAATACTATTTTGCAATATTCGGTCCCAAATCTGGCAGATCGAGAGCCCTGAGTCAAATGGAGTTGTTAATTCCAGATAATTAGATTAGACAAATTCTTTGTCCCCTGTTATAGATTTACTGTGTGTAACATGTAGCTGTTTGAATATTTTAGGTTGTCCTAAATGAGAGAAATCAAGTTAATGGTAAAGACATCTATGTAACTGTAGACTTGTAGGTAAAATGGAGGGAGTAGATTGATATAACGTTATGTATGATATGTATTGGTACAGAGGAAACTGGTGGCCTTGACCCACGGCAGTACTCACAGTTACAAGTGCTATACAAGGCACGAGGACGAAAGCTGGAGGAAATAACTAACGAGTATGAGATTCTCAAACAGGAGACGGGCCGGGAGATACGTATACTCAAACATCAAGTCTCTGTGGCAAAAGGTACAGTAGATGACCTGTCCTGTTGGTGAATTTGTGTGGTGACTGTCCTGTTGGTGAATTTGTGTGGTGACTGTCCTGTTGGTGAATTTGTGTGGTGACAGTCTTGTTGGTGAATTTGTGTGGTGACTGTCCTGTAGGTGACCTCTCCTGTTGGTGAATTTGTGTGGTGACTGTCCTGTTGGTGAATTTGTGTGGTGACCTGTCCTGTTTGTGAATTTGTGTGGTGACTGTCCTGTTGGTGAATTTGTGTGGTGACTGTCCTGTTGGTGAATTTGTGTGGTGACTGTCTTGTTGGTGAATTTGTGTGGTGACTGTCCTGTAGGTGAATTTGTGTGGTGACTGTCCTGTTGGTGAATTTGTGTGGTGACTGTCCTGTTGATGAATTTGTGTGGTGACTGTCCTGTTGTTAAATTTGTGTGATGACTGTCCTGTTGGTGAATTTGTGTGGTGACTGTCCTGTAGGTGACCTCTCCTGTTGGTGAATTTGTGTGGTGACTATCCTGTTGGTGAATTTGTGTGGTGACTGTCCTGTTGGTGAATTTGTGTGGTGACCTGTCCTGTTTGTGAATTTGTGTGGTTGGTGACTTGTGTGTGACTGTCCTGTTGGTGAATTTGTGTGGTGACTGTCCTGTTGGTGAATTTGTGTGGTGACTTGTCCTGTTGGTGAATTTGTGTGGTGACTGTCCTGTTGGTGAATTTGTGTGGTGACTGTCCTGTTGGTGAATTTGTGTGGTGACTGTCTTGTTGGCGAATTTGTGTGGTGACTGTCCTGTTTGTGAATTTGTGTGGTGACTGTCCTGTTAGTGAATTTGTGTGGTGACTGTCCTGTTTGTGAATTTGTGTGGTGACTGTCCTGTTAGTGAATTTGTGTGGTGACTGTCCTGTTTGTGAATTTGTGTGGTGACTGTCTTGTTGGCGAATTTGTGTGGTGACTGTCCTGTTTGTGAATTTGTGTGGTGACTGTCCTGTTAGTGAATTTGTGTGGTGACTGTCCTGTTGGTGAATTTGTGTGGTGACCTGTCCTGTTTGTGAATTTGTGTGGTGACTGTCCTGTAGGTGACCTGTCCTGTTTGTGAATTTGTGTGGTGACCTGTCCTGTTTGTGAATTTGTGTGGTGACTGTCCTGTTTGTGTGGTGAGTGTTTTACAAATTTGTGTGGTGTGTGGTGACTGTCCTGTTGTGTGAATTTGTTTGTGTGGTGACTGTGGTGACTGTCTTGTTGGTGAATTTGTGTGGTGACTATCTTGTTGGTGAATTTTTGTGGTGACTGTCCTGTTGGTGAATTTGTGTGGTGACTGTCCTGTTGGTGAATTTGTGTGGTGACTGTCCTGTTTGTGAATTTGTGTGGTGACTGTCACTGTATTTAGGTGAATTTGTGTGGTGACTAAAAGGCTGTGTTATGTGAATTTGTGTGGTGACTGTCCTGTTTTGAATTGGTGTGGTGATTTGTAGTGGTGACAGTCAGTGGTGACAAACAAATTGGTGTTTGTGTGCTTACTGTCTTGGTGTGAATTTGTGAATTTGTGTGGTGACTGTCCTGTTACAAACAAATGAATTTGTGTGGTGACTTATGTTTTTGTGAAAAACACTTTGTGTTTTACAAACAAATGGCTGTTTTATGCTTATTGTGTGGTGACTGTCACAGATATTTGTGTTTTGTTTTACAAACAAATAAAAGGTGTTTTATGCTTGTTGGCTTTGTGTGGTGACTGTCCTGTTATTTGTGTGGTCAGTGTTTTACAAACAAATGTGGGCTGTTTTATGCTTATTGGCTTGTTAAGTGTGAATTTGTTTAGTCAGTGTTTTACAAACAAATAAAAGGCTGTTTTATGCTTATTGGCTTGGTAAGGGTGTGATATTTAGGTTTAGTCAGTGTTTTACAAACAAATAAAAGGCTGTTTTATGCTTATTGGCTTGGTAAGGGAAAACACTGATATTTGTTTAGTCAGTGTTTTACAAACAAATAAAAAATTTAAACAACTAGAAAGTCTGAGCTGGCTGTTTTATGCTTATTGGCTTGGTAAGGAAAAACACAGATTTGGTTTGTCAGTGTTTTACAAACAAATAAAAGGCTGTTTTATGCTTATTGGCTTGGTAAGGAAAAACACAGATATTTAGGTTTGTGTGTTTTACAAACAAATAAAAGGCTGTTTTATGCTTATTGTTGGTAAGGAAAAACACAGATATTTAGGTTTAATTGTTTTACAAACAAATAAAAGGCTGTTTTATGCTTATTGGCTTGGTAAGGAAAAACACAGATATTTAGGTTTAGTCAGTGTTTTACAAACAAATAAAAGGCTGTTTTATGCTTATTGGCTTGGTAAGGAAAAACACAGATATTTAGGTTTAGTCAGTGTTTTACAAACAAATAAAAGGCTGTTTTATGCTTATTGGCTTGGTAAGGAAAAACACTGATATTTAGGTTTAGTCAGTGTTTTACAAACAAATAAAAGGCTGTTTTATGCTTATTGGCTTGTAAGGAAAAACACAGATATTTAGGTTTAGTCAGTGTTTTACAAACAAATAAAAGGCTGTTTTATGCTTATTGGCTTGGTAAGCGAAAACACAGATATTTAGGTTTAGTCAGTGTTTTACAAACAAATAAAAGGCTGTTTTATGCTTATTGGCTTGGTAAGGAAAAACACAGATATTTAGGTTTAGTCAGTGTTTTACAAACAAATAAAAGGCTGTTTTATGCTTATTGGCTTGGTAAGGAAAAACACAGATATTTAGGTTTAGTCAGTGTTTTACAAACAAATAAAAGGCTGTTTTATGCTTATTGGCTTGGTAAGGGAAAACACAGATATTTAGGTTTAGTCAGTGTTTTACAAACAAATAAAAGGCTGTTTTATGCTTATTGGCTTGGTAAGGAAAAACACAGATATTTAGGTTTAGTCAGTGTTTTACAAACAAATAAAAGGCTGTTTTATGCTTATTGGCTTGGTAAGGAAAAACACAGATATTTAGGTTTAGTCAGTGTTTTACAAACAAATAAAAGGCTGTTTTATGCTTATTGGCTTGGTAAGCGAAAACACAGATATTTAGGTTTAGTCAGTGTTTTACAAACAAATAAAAGGCTGTTTTATGCTTATTGGCTTGGTAAGGAAAAACACAGATATTTAGGTTTAGTCAGTGTTTTACAAACAAATAAAAGGCTGTTTTATGCTTATTGGCTTGGTAAGGGAAAACACAGATATTTAGGTTTAGTCAGTGTTTTACAAACAAATAAAAGGCTGTTTTATGCTTATTGGCTTGGTAAGGGAAAACACAGATATTTAGGTTTAGTCAGTGTTTTACAAACAAATAAAAGGCTGTTTTATGCTTATTGGCTTGGTAAGGAAAGACACAGATATTTAGGTTTAGTCAGTGTTTTACAAACAAATAAAAGGCTGTTTTATGCTTATTGGCTTGGTAAGGGAAAACACTGATATTTAGGTTTAGTCAGTGTTTTACAAACAAATAAAAGGCTGTTTTATGCTTATTGGCTTGGTAAGGAAAAACACTGATATTTAGGTTTAGTCAGTGTTTTACAAACAAATAAAAGGCTGTTTTATGCTTATTGGCTTGGTAAGGAAAAACACAGATATTTAGGTTTAGTCAGTGTTTTACAAACAAATAAAAGGCTGTTTTATGCTTATTGGCTTGGTAAGGAAAACACTGATATTTAGGTTTAGTCAGTGTTTTACAAACAAATAAAAGGCTGTTTTATGCTTATTGGCTTGGTAAGGAAAAACACAGATATTTAGGTTTAGTCAGTGTTTTACAAACAAATAAAAGGCTGTTTTATGCTTATTGGCTTGGTAAGGAAAAACACTGATATTTAGGTTTAGTCAGTGTTTTACAAACAAATAAAAGGCTGTTTTATGCTTATTGGCTTGGTAAGGAAAAACACAGATATTTAGGTTTAGTCAGTGTTTTACAAACAAATAAAAGGCTGTTTTATGCTTATTGGCTTGGTAAGGAAAAACACAGATATTTAGGTTTAGTCAGTGTTTTACAAACAAATAAAAGGCTGTTTTATGCTTATTGGCTTGGTAAGGGAAAACACAGATATTTAGGTTTAGTCAGTGTTTTACAAACAAATAAAAGGCTGTTTTATGCTTATTGGCTTGGTAAGGGAAAACACAGATATTTAGGTTTAGTCAGTGTTTTACAAACAAATAAAAGGCTGTTTTATGCTTATTGGCTTGGTAAGGGAAAACACAGATATTTAGGTTTAGTCAGTGTTTTACAAACAAATAAAAGGCTGTTTTATGCTTATTGGCTTGGTAAGGGAAAACACTGATATTTAGGTTTAGTCAGTGTTTTACAAACAAATAAAAGGCTGTTTTATGCTTATTGGCTTGGTAAGGGAAAACACAGATATTTAGGTTTAGTCAGTGTTTTACAAACAAATAAAAGGCTGTTTTATGCTTATTGGCTTGGTAAGGGAAAACACTGATATTTAGGTTTAGTCAGTGTTTTACAAACAAATAAAAGGCTGTTTTATGCTTATTGGCTTGGTAAGGGAAAACACTGATATTTAGGTTTAGTCAGTGTTTTACAAACAAATAAAAGGCTGTTTTATGCTTATTGGCTTGGTAAGGAAAAACACAGATATTTAGGTTTAGTCAGTGTTTTACAAACAAATAAAAGGCTGTTTTATGCTTATTGGCTTGGTAAGGGAAAACACAGATATTTAGGTTTAGTCAGTGTTTTACAAACAAATAAAAGGCTGTTTTATGCTTATTGGCTTGGTAAGGGAAAACACTGATATTTAGGTTTAGTCAGTGTTTTACAAACAAATAAAAGGCTGTTTTATGCTTATTGGCTTGGTAAGGGAAAACACAGATATTTAGGTTTAGTCAGTGTTTTACAAACAAATAAAAGGCTGTTTTATGCTTATTGGCTTGGTAAGGGAAAACACTGATATTTAGGTTTAGTCAGTGTTTTACAAACAAATAAAAGGCTGTTTTATGCTTATTGGCTTGGTAAGGGAAAACACAGATATTTAGGTTTAGTCAGTGTTTTACAAACAAATAAAAGGCTGTTTTATGCTTATTGGCTTGGTAAGGGAAAACACTGATATTTAGGTTTAGTCAGTGTTTTACAAACAAATAAAAGGCTGTTTTATGCTTATTGGCTTGGTAAGGGAAAACACTGATATTTAGGTTTAGTCAGTGTTTTACAAACAAATAAAAGGCTGTTTTATGCTTATTGGCTTGGTAAGGAAAAACACAGATATTTAGGTTTAGTCAGTGTTTTACAAACAAATAAAAGGCTGTTTTATGCTTATTGGCTTGGTAAGGGAAAACACTGATATTTAGGTTTAGTCAGTGTTTTACAAACAAATAAAAGGCTGTTTTATGCTTATTGGCTTGGTAAGGGAAAACACTGATATTTAGGTTTAGTCAGTGTTTTACAAACAAATAAAAGGCTGTTTTATGCTTATTGGCTTGGTAAGGAAAAACACAGATATTTAGGTTTAGTCAGTGTTTTACAAACAAATAAAAGGCTGTTTTATGCTTATTGGCTTGGTAAGGGAAAACACAGATATTTAGGTTTAGTCAGTGTTTTACAAACAAATAAAAGGCTGTTTTATGCTTATTGGCTTGGTAAGGGAAAACACAGATATTTAGGTTTAGTCAGTGTTTTACAAACAAATAAAAGGCTGTTTTATGCTTATTGGCTTGGTAAGGGAAAACACTGATATTTAGGTTTAGTCAGTGTTTTACAAACAAATAAAAGGCTGTTTTATGCTTATTGGCTTGGTAAGGGAAAACACAGATATTTAGGTTTAGTCAGTGTTTTACAAACAAATAAAAGGCTGTTTTATGCTTATTGGCTTGGTAAGGGAAAACACAGATATTTAGGTTTAGTCAGTGTTTTACAAACAAATAAAAGGCTGTTTTATGCTTATTGGCTTGGTAAGGGAAAACACAGATATTTAGGTTTAGTCAGTGTTTTACAAACAAATAAAAGGCTGTTTTATGCTTATTGGCTTGGTAAGGGAAAACACAGATATTTAGGTTTAGTCAGTGTTTTACAAACAAATAAAAGGCTGTTTTATGCTTATTGGCTTGGTAAGGGAAAACACAGATATTTAGGTTTAGTCAGTGTTTTACAAACAAATAAAAGGCTGTTTTATGCTTATTGGCTTGGTAAGGGAAAACACTGATATTTAGGTTTAGTCAGTGTTTTACAAACAAATAAAAGGCTGTTTTATGCTTATTGGCTTGGTAAGGGAAAACACTGATATTTAGGTTTAGTCAGTGTTTTACAAACAAAAAAAAGGCTGTTTTATGCTTATTGGCTTGGTAAGGAAAAACACAGATATTTAGGTTTAGTCAGTGTTTTACAAACAAATAAAAGGCTGTTTTATGCTTATTGGCTTGGTAAGGGAAAACACAGATATTTAGGTTTAGTCAGTGTTTTACAAACAAATAAAAGGCTGTTTTATGCTTATTGGCTTGGTAAGGAAAAACACAGATATTTAGGTTTAGTCAGTGTTTTACAAACAAATAAAAGGCTGTTTTATGCTTATTGGCTTGGTAAGGAAAAACACAGATATTTAGGTTTAGTCAGTGTTTTACAAACAAATAAAAGGCTGTTTTATGCTTATTGGCTTGGTAAGGGAAAACACTGATATTTAGGTTTAGTCAGTGTTTTACAAACAAATAAAAGGCTGTTTTATGCTTATTGGCTTGGTAAGGAAAAACACAGATATTTAATTCTTTAATTGAATTTATGAAGCTTTAAGACTGTGAAATATCAGTCAGAAAGGTCAGCTGAGGATTTATGAGATGCTATCAGCACTTTAATTGTTAAAAACAGTTGCATGATTTCATTCATTAAAAAAGATTTAAGCTTTTACCGTAATTCTTTTTTTAGATTCAACATATTATTCCTTGGCCCATTTCCTCTCAAATGGACCCCATTTTTTTTTAACACTATGGGCCCAGTTGGCCCTTGTGATGCTAATCCTGGATTGAACACTGAGTATGTATCTGTGAATTAACTTAATTAATTGTACTATGCTTTATAGAACTGAGTTGCAGAAATGTATCATGGTTGTCTATATATCCATTATCAGGAGAGCAGGAGGCAGCCAATACCAGTCTGAAGCAAGTTCAGGATCTACTGAGGGAAAGCAAGGGAGATAACTCTCACCTTCTGGGCAGGAACAAAGCCATCGAGACAGAGATTGATGTCATTAAAAAAAGCAAGGATGAGGTAAATGTCTGGATAGACTGTGTTAGTATATCATACTGTAATAGAGGGCTCCATAGGATGTCTGGATAGACTGTGTTAGTATATCATACTGTAATAGAGGGCTCCATAGGATGTCTGGATAGACTGTGTTAGTATATCATACTGTAATAGAGGGCTCCATAGGATGTCTGGATAGACTGTGTTAGTATATCATACTGTAATAGAGGGCTCCATAGGATGATGTCTGGATAGACTGTGTTAGTATATCATACTGTAATAGAGGGCTCCATAGGATGTCTGGATAGACTGTGTTAGTATATCATACTGTAATAGAGGGCTCCATAGGATGTCTGGATAGACTGTGTTAGTATATCATACTGTAATAGAGGGCTCCATAGGATGAGGTCTGGATAGACTGTGTTAGTATATCATACTGTAATAGAGGGCTCCATAGGATGTCTGGATAGACTGTGTTAGTATATCATACTGTAATAGAGGGCTCCATAGGATGTCTGGATAGACTGTGTTAGTATATCATACTGTAATAGAGGGCTCCATAGGATGAGGTCTGGATAGACTGTGTTAGTATATCATACTGTAATAGAGGGCTCCATAGGATGATGTCTGGATAGACTGTGTTAATATATCATACTGTAATAGAGGGCTCCATAGGATGAGGTCTGGATAGACTGTGTTAGTATATCATACTGTAATAGAGGGCTCCATAGGATGAGGTCTGGATAGACTGTGTTAGTATATCATACTGTAATAGAGGGCTCCATAGGATGAGGTCTGGATAGACTGTGTTAGTATATCATACTGTAATAGAGGGCTCCATAGGATGAGGTCTGGATAGACTGTGTTAGTATATCATACTGTAATAGAGGGCTCCATAGGATGAGGTCTGGATAGACTGTGTTAGTATATCATACTGTAATAGAGGGCTCCATAGGATGAGGTCTGGATAGACTGTGTTAGTATATCATACTGTAATAGAGGGCTCCATAGGATGACTGGATAGACTGTGTTAGTATATCATACTGTAATAGAGGGCTCCATAGGATGATGTCTGGATAGACTGTGTTAATATATCATACTGTAATAGAGGGCTCCATAGGATGTCTGGATAGACTGTGTTAGTATATCATACTGTAATAGAGGGCTCCATAGGATGAGGTCTGGATAGACTGTGTTAGTATATCATACTGTAATAGAGGGCTCCATAGGATGAGGTCTGGATAGACTGTGTTAGTATATCATACTGTAATAGAGGGCTCCATAGGATGTCTGGATAGACTGTGTTAGTATATCATACTGTAATAGAGGGCTCCATAGGATGTCTGGATAGACTGTGTTAGTATATCATACTGTAATAGAGGGCTCCATAGGATGAGGTCTGGATAGACTGTGTTAGTATATCATACTGTAATAGAGGGCTCCATAGGATGATGTCTGGATAGACTGTGTTAATATATCATACTGTAATAGAGGGCTCCATAGGATGAGGTCTGGATAGACTGTGTTAGTATATCATACTGTAATAGAGGGCTCCATATTTTATAATTTACCTGTAGTATTATTTTGATTTAATGATACGCTTATCAGACCTATTACGTGATCATCATAATCATCATCATCACAACAATCATTATTTATTGATTATTATCAAAGTTGTCTTCCATTCTTCATCATCATCATCATCATCATCATCATCATCATCATCATCATCATCATCATCATCATCATCATCATCACCATCACCATCACCATCACCCTCACCCTCATCCTCATCCTCATCATCTTCATCATCATCTTCATCTTCATCTTCATCTTCATCATCATCACCATCACCATCACCATCACCATCACCATCACCATCATCATCATCATCATCATCATCCTCCTCCTCATCATCATCATCATCATCATCATCCTCCTCATAATGATAATTTGTTTTTCGTCATCATCCTCCCCTCCTCATCATCACTGAACATGATAAGAACATCATCATTTTCACATGGACACTGCACAATAGTTTTATGTTATAACTTACATAAGGTACAGACAGGACTAACAGCTAAGCTTATTTTAAGTAGAAGTGTTTGTTGCCAAAATATGGTGTATACTTCTAACCTGAAACCATTGCAGTTTAGAACTTTTAGTGACTAAGGATGGAATTTCACATAACCTCTTCCATTTTCCACTATTGAAATCAAATTCCTGATCCCGTGTTCTAATTCCAGTTGGTTTTGGTGCTGGTGGGATGATACAGTTATAGAAGTATTTTGACCCTTTTTTATTTTTGAAAAAAATTTCCAAGAGGGGTGAAATTTTAGGCAAAGATGGAGTTTCGAACACAGTATCATGATTTCTTAGAAATTGTTTAACACCACATAATAAACCAGAGTATTCAAGAAAATTGGTATTTACCTGAAAGATGGGAGATAACTCTTGGAGAGAGAAAAAAGTCATGTCATCTACATTTTCTAATAGATCATTAACTGTGTAAACAGACCACATTAGACCAGTTTTAATAAAAAAAAAAAATGCTTATTATTAATCTTAAATTGTAAATAATAATGTCCTCCCCCTCAGGGGCTTGCGTGGAAGGGTCAAAAAGGGTCAAATCGACTGAATTTTCAAAAATCTTTTTCTCAGTATCCAAATTTAGTAGAATTAGATACTCCTAATGGATAGAAGGGTCTTCAGGTGCTTTTTCAAAATCGTAAATTTTATGACCCCAGTTGTAACTTGAGTAAAACTGTTCCTGTACAAGTAGTATTTCTCATTTTCTTTCTCTCTATACTACAGATTTATTCCAGTTGTTTCCATTGTGAGTTCACTCAGGTGACCGTTAAGGCCCATGGGTCTCTTGTTACCTGTACTATTGTGTATACTATATATATGGTTAACTTTGATGTTTGATACCTGTGTTACCAGTGTACTTTCTAGGTGTCATTTTATTGTTTGTCTATTTATCAGATACTAAAGAAGCTCCATGTTGCCGAGTCTAACATAGAGAGTCTTAACCAACAGCTACTAGATCTTGGTAACAGTGAAAGCTTGGCCCGTGCTCGCCATGACCACGAAGTCGTCATCGCAGGCATACAGCGCAAACATCAGCAGGAGGTCAAGGTCGCAAACGAGAAAATACAGGAACTGAACCTTCGCATCTCTGACCTGGTAATATACATGTCTGTAAAGTCATGTGACATAGGAGGTTTTTACAATAACGATGTAGACATCAGTCAGCTGGGGTTTTGTGATTATACAATAACGATGTAGATATCAGTCAGCTGGGGTTTTGTGATTATACAATAGCGATGTAGACATCAGTCGGCTGGGTTTTTGTGATTATACAATAACGATGTAGACATCAGTCAGCTGGGGTTTTGTGATTATACAATAACGATGTAGCCATCAGTCAGCTGGGGTTTTGTGATTATACGATAACGATGTAGACATAAGTCAGCTGTGGTTTTGTGATCTTACAATAATGATGTAGACATCAGTCAGCTGGGGTTTTGTGATTATACGATAACGATGTAGACATCAGTCAGCTGGGGTTTTGTGATTATACGATAACGATGTAGACATAAGTCAGCTGTGGTTTTGTGATCTTACAATAACGATGTAGGCATCAGTCAGCTGGGGTTTTGTGATCATACAATAATGATGTAGACATAAGTCGGCTGGGGTTTTGTGATCATATGATAACGATGTAGACATCAGTCAGCTGGGGTTTTGTGATTATACATTAACGATGTAGACATCTGTCAGATGGGGTTTTGTGATTATACAATAACGATGTAGCCATCAGTCAGCTGGGGTTTTGTGATTATACAATAACGATGTAGACATAAGTCAGCTGGGGTTTTGTGATTATACAATAACGATGTAGACATAAGTCAGCTGGGGTTTTGTGATCATACAATAGCAATGTAGACATCAGTCAGCTGGGGTTTTGTGATTAATCTCTGAAGAAGGACTTAGATGTCTGATCAACAATCATTGTCCATTTGTTGATCTAATAATTTGTATGTTACAAACAGTTGAATTCCCAGCTCTGAAGATCATGTCACATTTCACGATGGATAGACGACTGCTGTAAAATTATATTTTTCTGCCTGTATTTCATGATTTTACGAAACATACGTTTTTGATGGCACTTAATTTTGTGAATAAACCGTGCTCGTGAAATCAACAAGTTGTAATCATGTCAGGTTCGATCTGTGTGTGGATAAAGAGTTACCATAATCTTAGTGAAATATAACGTCCATGGTTATGGATTCTGAGTGAGATCAGGGCCCGTAAAACCATTCTCATGCTGAAGCATAGATTTTGTGCTCAAGCAGACTTTTTTTATAATTCGCCTAAATCATATAAAAAAATACAAATGTCAGATATAAACATTGAATATCACTTTGATTTGAAGTCCTTTCAAAATTTATTTTAAATCTTTGGCGAAATTAGTCTTATTTATTAATCCTCAACTTAAACAAGACATAAGGCTTGAACACAAAATTCATTCTTGATCATGAGAACGGTTTCACGAATACGGGCCCAGATCAGTTGTCTGTAAACACAAACTTCACAATGTTAGTTGACATGGAATAGAGACTCTGCAAGATCACTATGACTGGTATTTCAAGATATTTAAGAGAATAAATGTAGATTGTCGATGTACTTTGAGAACTTCTGTCCTTATTTACCGTATATCTACTGGACATTTGTAAGTCTCCAATTAATGCTATTAGGTGGTGAAATGTAATGTTGTAACAGTTCTGTGTGAAGATTATGGCAATCCGATTTTTTTCTTCAGAGTGGTGAGAATAAGACATTGCGTAAGAAATTGGAGGAAAGTTATCAGACCGCAGAGAAAGCACAGATATCACGGGCAGAAACGATAAACCGTCTGACTCGTAGTCTGGAGGATTCCCAGAAACAGTGTCAGGCCTTGCTAGAGTCAAGTAAGTACAAACATTTAGTCAGTGACTAAGAATAACCGAGGGAATACGGTGTGTACAGTGGTAATGTGATTGTTTTTCAACTGACAACTGGGGTCACCTGTCCCTCCAAAGTCAGATATGATAAAGTAGGGGGTCACCTGTCCCACCACAGTCAGACATGATAAAGTAAAGTAGGGGGTCACCTGTCCCACCACAGTTAGACATGATAAAGTAGGGGGTCACCTGTCCCACCACAGTCAGACATGATAAAGTAGGGGGTCACCTGTCCCACCACAGTCAGACATGATAAAGTAGGGGGTCACCTGTCCCACCACAGTCAGACATGATAAAGTAGGGGGTCACCTGTCCCACCACAGTCAGACATGATAAAGTAGGGGGTCACCTGTCCCACCACAGTCAGACATGATAAAGTAGGGGGTCACCTGTCCCACCACAGTCAGATATGATAAAGTAGGGGGTCACCTGTCCCACCACAGTCAGATATAATAAAGTAGGGGGTCACCTGTCCCACCACAGTCAGACATGATAAAGTATGGGGTCACCTGTCCCATCACAGTCAGACATGATAAAGTAGGGGGTCACCTGTCCCACCACAGTCAGACATGATAAAGTACGGGGTCACCTGTCCCACCACAGTCAGACATGATAAAGTAGGGGGTCACCTGTCCCACCACAGTCAGACATGATAAAGTAGGGGGTCACCTGTCCCACCACAGTCAGACATGATAAAGTAGGGGGTCACCTGTCCCACCACAGTCAGACATGATAAAGTAGGGGGTCACCTGTCCCACCACAGTCAGACATGATAAAGTAGGGGGTCACCTGTCCCACCACAGTCAGACATGATAAAGTAGGGGGTCACCTGTCCCACCACAGTCAGACATGATAAAGTAGGGGGTCACCTGTCCCACCACAGTCAGACATGATAAAGTAGGGGGTCACCTGTCCCACCACAGTCAGACATGATAAAGTAGGGGGTCACCTGTCCCACCACAGTCAGACATGATAAGTAGGGGGTCACCTGTCCCACCACAGTCAGACATGATAAAGTAGGGGGTCACCTGTCCCACCACAGTCAGACATGATAAAGTAGGGGGTCACCTGTCCCACCACAGTCAGATATAATAAAGTAGGGGGTCACCTGTTCCACCACAGTCAGACATGATAAAGTAGGGGGTCACCTGTCCCACCACAGTCAGACATGATAAAGTAGGGGGTCACCTGTTCCACCCTGTAGATTTTTCCCTGGGTACTCCCACAGTAAGAATCTTATCAATGTAAATGATAACTTTGTGATTTTGTAAAATATGTTGTAGAATAGAAGTGAATGTTTTATATCTTGTTACATCTAGCTTTGTAGAGTTGCACTGATAGTAACTTTGTGTTGTAGCATCCTCTCATGAACTAAGTCAGATAAAGATACAACTTCAGCAGACGATAGCTTCTAGGAACATCGCTGATGACATGTGTCGCACCTACCAGGTACTGTAATCTCAGTTAATCATGGTATAAAGATAATTCCTCGTCAAATTCTATTTATAATATAGAACTAGGGATTATCCAAGGAGAACAACGACCTTTTCTGTAGTCGAGTTTCTCTGTGATATGTTTTGTATCCATGAAAATCGAATCTCCCTCATAATTTGTAAGTAAACGTAGAAACAAACATGATTGTGAGGTATTGTTCTTTGGAGAATGATAATTGTCCTTAGTATATGGTTGGTTTTGTGTTGGTATATGTTGTCATTGTAACTTGATCAGGAGGAAATTCAGGACCTCAAGGAGCAGCTGTCCATGTTTGAGTCAGCATCTGGACTCGGTGTGTTGACCTCTGGCCAAACATCTTCTGATGCCAGGTGTCCCATTCATGATGACTCTCTCCTCGACCTTGGTATCAAGAAGACCCTCGACTTTGACACACCAGAATCTGTATCAAGGTAAGTCCTGATATGATTAACACACAATAGAGATTTGTCTAGCCTTAGAAAATGTTTGATGTTGCTTTCTATTCCTGAGCAACCCTGGAGAACTATTTAACCATTGATTATACTGATAGAGCAAAGAAGTGAAAATTGTTAAGACTTTGAGAGAACTGATAAAGATTGTGTAGCAGGAAAAAGCCCTGTGGAATCTCTTGTCCTTCACTGGCTTTGATGGAAGTCAGGAGTGGATTTTTCTTACAACTTTGATATAGAAACTTTTAGAGTTCTATATCTTTTAGCCAGTTGTGCGTGTTGATGAGACAGTTGTTGGTCTGTTACAGTACTGGTGTGAGGAGTAATCGGTTTGAAGGCCTTGCGTCTGATGACATGGTGACAGGTCTGAAAGCTGAGCTAGAGCGCTGTCTTCTGAGCAACAAACAGAAACGACAACAGGTAGCTCAAATCCAGGAGGAGCTGCGTGCAGCAAAGAAAGAAATCGGGGAGTTAAAACAGCGATGTGAGCGAGCTGAAAGTTCTTCTCAGGACTATAAGGTATATTTAATGATTTTGGAAAACGTGATTCATTTCAACATTTATAATTTAGTTATTATAATTGATATACAATATCAGATTCTGTGCTTTCCCTGGAATCTCTTTTTATTTAATAACAAATGCATGAAAAATGCTTGATGATTTAGCACTGACTGAGGTATGACTGAGACACACACACACACTGTGGTAGGGTTTGTGTCGTATGTGACTGGTATGACAGAGACAGATACACACACACTGTGGTAGGGTTTGTGTTGTATGTGACTGAGGTGTGACTGAGACACACACACACACTGTGGTAGGGTTTGTGTGATATGTAACTGAGGTATGAGTGAGACAGATACACACACACACTGTGGTAGGGTTTGTGTGATATGTAACTGAGGTATGAGTGAGACAGATACAGACACACACTGTGGTAGGGTTAGTGTCGTATGTGACTGAGGTATGACTGAGACAGATACACACACACACTGTGGTAGGGTTTGTGTCGTATGTGACTGTGGTATGACAGAGACACACACACACACACACACTGTGGTAGGGTTTGTGTCGTATGTGACTGAGGTATGACTGAGACACACACACACACTGTGGTAGGGTTAGTGTCGTATGTGACTGAGGTATGAGTGAGACAGATACAGACACACACTGTGGTAGGGTTCGTGTCGTATGTGACTGATATGCACGATGACTGATTTTAGAAACGTTTGGATGAGTGGGAGGAGCTAACAAGGTCAGGTGACAGGAAAAGTGCAGTAGAGGGACGACTCAAGAAAGACATTGACAACCTGCACCGTGAGAAATCCATTCTGCTTGAGGATATTGAGGTAAGACCAGTAATGTGTATACCAACAATATAATGTTTTAGTGAATCTTTATCTGTACAGACACAATATGTACCTGTACTCACCTGTACACTATGTACCTGTACTCACAAGTACTCACCTGTACACTGTGTAACTGTACTTACCTGTACTCACCTGTACACTATGTACCTGTACTCACAAGTACTCACCTGTACACTGTGTAACTGTACTTACCTGTACTCACCTGTACACTATGTACCTGTACTTAACTGTACTTACCTGTACTCACCTGTACACTATGTACCTGTACTTACCTGAACTCACCTGTACAATATGTACATGTACTTACCTGTACTCACCTGTAATTTATATACCTGTACTTACCTGAACTCACCTGTACAATATATTCCTGTACTTACCTGTCCTCACCTGTACACTATGTACCTGTACTTACCTGTACTCACCTGTACACTACGTACATGTACTTACCAGTACTCACCTGTACAATATGTTCCTGTACTTATCTGTACACTATGTACCTGTACTTACCTGTACTCACCTGTACACTATGTACCTGTACTTACCTGTACTCACCTGTACACTATGTACATGTACTTACCAGTACTCACCTGTACAATATGTTCCTGTACTTACCTGTACACTATGTTCCTGTACTTACCTGTACTCACCTGTACAATATGTTGCGGTACTCACCTGTACAATATGCTGCGGTACTCACCTGTACAATATGTTCCGGTACTCACTTGTACAGTATGTTCTGGTACTCACCTGTACACTATGTACCTGTACTTACCTGTACTCACCTGTACACTATGTACCTGTACTTACCTGTACTCACCTGTACACTATGTACCTGTACTTACCTGTACTCACCTGTACACTATGTACATGTACTTACCAGTACTCACCTGTACAATATGTTCCTGTACTTACCTGTACACTATTTACCTGTACTTACCTGTACTCACCTGTACAATATGTTGCGGTACTCACCTGTACAATATGCTGTGGTACTCACCTGTACAATATGTTCCGGTACTCACCTGTACAGTATGTTCTGGTACTCACCTGTACAATATGTACATGAACTTACCTGTACTCACCTGTACACTATGTACCTGTACTTACCTGTACTCACCTGTACACTATGTACCTGTACTTACCTGTACAATATGTGCTTGTACATTGTATCCTGTATGATACCTGTTCCCTGTGATGTGTTTGTTTAATATGTATTTGCCATGTTTTACAGGACCTGAAGAAGAGGCTGGAGGAGGTAGGAAGCAGTGAAGAGAAGTTGACAGAGATGAACCGAGAACTCAACAAACAGATCTCTCAGATGGTACAAGATTTTGACAGTGATAAATGTGAAGCACTCAAAAGGTAGGAATAAGTTATTTATAATTTAAGAAATAGTAGAAAATATTTTGTCTGATATCTCATCTGGTACAAGATTTTGACATCAATAATTACCATACATGGCTGACTGAAGAAAACAGCCTTATGCAGTGTCGCATTGTCCGTTGTTTGTCCAGCGTCCAGCATCAACGTCCAGTGTCAACTTTTTACTTTAAACAACTTCTTCTCAAGAACCAATAGACAAAATATTTAGAAAGGGCTGGTATGTTTCTATGATGAATCCCGACGTATGTTCCTATGATGAATCCCGACAAAGTTTGTGTAAAGAAATGACCTTGACTGAGGTCACAGGGAACAAATTTTTTTAAAACATTTAAATCACTTTCTCGTGAACTAAAAGGCATGATATTTGGTTGGTATATGTATACACCAGCTGAGCACTTCAGGCCCATTGGGCCTCTTGCTGAAGTTAAATTTGTAGATTTTAATAACATGGTAAATTTTCAGGTCTTTACCTCATTTGGGCAGCTACTTGAATCAGTGTGTAGATGGAGCAGAGAATATGGTTATATGATAACTCGGCTATTTATATTAAACTAAATTTACATTGAAACTCCATTTTGCATTTGAAATAAAACAATGAAAAATGCAAAATTTAAAACCATTTGAAAAACATTTACAGTATGACAGAACAAATGTCAATGCAATTTTTACTAAAATTGTGGTTACCATGGTAAAATATTAATGTAAAGGGGGCATAACTCCAGAACCCTTGATGGATAACTGATGTATTTTTGTTCATGCTCATAGGGAATATGGGTTGTCAGTTAATAATGTTTGTGACAGTTCTTGATCAGTACAGTAAAATAGGGAAATGTTCTACAACAAACCAATGTTACTGTTACAAGGATAGACAGGGATACTATCACAAGGATAGGCAGGGATACTATCACAAGGATAGGCAGGGATACTATCACAAGGATAGGCAGGGATACTATCACAAGGATGGGCCTGTGTTACTATCACAAGGATGGGCCTGTGTTACTATCACAAGGATGGGTCTGTGTTACTATAACAAGGATGGGTCTGTGTTACTATCACAAGGATGGGTCTGTGTTACTATCACAAGGATTGGTCTGTGTTACTATCACAAGGATTGGTCTGTGTTACTATCACAAGGATGGGTCTGTGTTACTATAACAAGGATGGGTCTGTGTTACTATCACAAGGATTGGTCTGTGTTACTATCACAAGGATAGGTCTGTGTTACTATTACAAGGTCTGTGTTACTATCACAAGGAATGGTCTGTGTTACTTTAACAAGGATGGGTCTGTGTTACTATAACAAGGATAGGTCTGTGTTACTATCACAAGGATGGGTCTGTGTTACTATAACAAGGATGGGTCTGTGTTACTCTAACAAGGATTGGTCTGTGTTACTATCACAAGGATAGGTCTGTGTTACTATTACAAGGTCTGTGTTACTATCACAAGGAATGGTCTGTGTTACTATAACAAGGATGGGTCTGTGTTACCATAACAAGGATGGGTCTGTGTTACTATCACAAGGATAGGTCTGTGTTACTATAACAAGGATGGGTCTGTGTTACTATAACAAGGATTGGTCTGTGTTACTATCACAAGGATAGGTCTGTGTTACTATCACAAGGAATGGTCTGTGTTACTATCACAAGGATAGGTCTGTGTTACTATCACAAGGATAGGTCTGTGTTACTCTAACAAGGATGGGTCTGTGTTACTATAACAAGGATGGGTCTGTGTTACTATCACAAGGACATTATACTTGTTAATGATTACTGTATTGATACAATTTTTTTGACATTGTTGTGGATTATACAAAATGATACTGAAATATGTATGTTATGTTCTATCAGTTATTGTGTGATCTGGGGAGTCAGGTATCACAACATTGTCAGTGAGCCCAGTATGGACAGGTTATATTAGGTATCAGGTGTCCGGTATACTCTGATATTATGGGAGATCGATATCAGGACTACCTGTACTAATTAAATGTTAGTACACACCTGGTGGACAGGTAAGTGGAATATAATCATGTTCTCCAGAAGTTTTAGTAAATAATATAGGTAAGAAAATCTGAAACAATAATTTCTGCATTTTTTATAATCAAAAATCATTTTTTAAAATATTGGTTCCTTTTATTACAAATCATTTCTTTTGTTTGAAATGAATTGTGTTAATCATAGAAGTGATGACTACATTTTGTTTTAATTAACATGTGTTGTTAATCTCTAACTAGCTGGTGTTGATAAACTTTCCTAGATCTATCTAGAATTGCCTATATAGAGATAAGCTTTATCATAATGATGTTGATAGGGTGAGAAAATGTTTCAACAGAGAGAGTAGGGTGTGGGAATGTGATCCAACAGAGCTGACGGGATGGGATGAGAGAGAGAGAGAGAGAGACAGAGAGAGAGAGGGAGAGAGATAGGGGGTTAGGGTGGGTGTGTGGGATAGAGAGAGAGTTAGAGAGGGAGGGAGGGAGAGAGGGGAGAGAGAGACAGAGACAGACAGACAGAGATAAGGGGATAGGGTGTGGGGGTGTGGGATAGAGAGAGAGGGAGGGAGGAAGGGGAGATAGAGAGATCTAATGTAGACTTGTTTGGTTGGGGATGATAAAAGTGTTGTACTGTTATAAAGATAGCAATACTGAGGACACTCATAGAGTTGGACTGTCAGACAATACTACACACAATACCTCCAATGTTCTGTTTTGTCTGTGAGATCAGTTGTCCATGTTATTCACTGGTGACACTAGTTCTACACACTTAGTCTCACTACTATTGCGGTCTGAATATAACCAGTTAACTGTTCATTATTCTTGTACCAGTTTGCAGCTACATAATCTCCCTTCATATGTTATTCAACACTTGCCCAAATACATGCATGACAAGGAACCATGCCCCAGACTGATTTTCACAAATGCATACTTCTAAAATCCACAGGTGTGAGAGGACTCTTGAATCAGTACATGAGGTTGCTAAGTCGCAGCTGCAACAGGAAATGGAGGCCAAGTTTGCTGAGGACCAGGCCAATCTAGTCAATAAATATGAAGAGGACTGTACAAATCTCAGGTATGGAAACCATATATTCAAAAGTAAAGTAGATCAAATATCATATTTCCTCATATCATATGGTGTGTACAAATGTGTTGTAGACTGTTTATCATATGGTGTGTACAAATGTGCTGTAGACTGTTTATCATATGGTGTGTACAAATGTGCTGTAGACTGTTTATCATATGGTGTGTACAAATGTGCTGTAGACTGTTTATCATATGGTGTGTACAAATGTGCTCTAGACTGTTTATCATATGGTGTGTACAAATGTGTTGTAGACTGTTTATCATATGGTGTGTACAAATGTGCTCTAGACTGTTTATCATATGGTGTGTACAAGTGTGCTGTAGACTGTTTATCATATGGTGTGTACATATGTGTTGTAGACTGTTTATCATATGGTGTGTACAAATGTGCTGTAGACTGTTTATCATATGGTGTGTACATATGTGTTGTAGACTGTTTATCATATGGTGTGTACATATGTGTTGTTGACTGTTTATCATATGGTGTGTACACATGTGTTGTAGACTGTTTATCATATGGTGTGTACAAATGTGCTGTAGACTGTTTATCATATGGTGTGTACAAATGTGCTGTATGTTTATCATATGTGTGTTGTGCTGTACTGTTTATCATATGGTGTGTACACATGTTTATCATATGTGTGTAGTGCTGTACTGTTTATCATATGGTGTGTACAAATGTGCTGTAGACTGTTTATCATATGGTGTGTACAAATGTGCTGTAGACTGTTTATCATATGGTGTGTACAAATGTGCTGTAGACTGTTTATCATATGGTGTGTACAAGTGTGCTGTAGACTGTTTATCATATGGTGTGTACAAATGTGCTCTAGACTGTTTATCCTGGAAGTTTTGTCTTTAATACTGCAATGTGAGAGCCAAAATCTGAAAATCAAACCCCCCAAAAATTGTTTTTATTGGCCTGAAGTGCATCATAGACAATGTCTTTGTCAGTGTTTAATCAGGTTTTTTATGATTTGAATAGAATTCATGAGTTTTTTTGAAAATTTTGCCTTCAGGAAAAATCATGACTTTTTACAATGCTTTGATGAAGCACTGCCAGTGGTATTTATTTTTTTGTACCTGGATTTTGATTGTATTGATGCCTGATGGATAACAAGACCTTTTATGTATGTTGAAGGAATGACCTTGACTCGACCTTACGTGAGCTGGACGAGGTGAAGGAGATGTATGTGCGCGTGTGTACAGAGAAGGATAACATGGAACAGGAAGTGCGTGCTAAAATTGAGGCTGATACAGCACGGAAACTGGAGCAGGTAAAATATGTAAATTTATATCAGTTATTTGTCAAGTAGCAATAAAAAGGGGCCAAAAACGTAGCATTGACTCACTCCTGAGTAGCTCAAAACTACATTGAAACTCAGCTAACTTGGTGATTATTTTTTGCCCAACATTCACAAATGTAAGGTACACAATGGAAACATTTTCCACTGGAACACTTGTATAGAAGGATAATCCCTGACTAGTATGTTGTTGTTATTATTATTACATTTTTAACGGCCCGTCAACACATAAAAGGTCATTAGGGCCATCAAACAGTAAAACACACCAGACTTGTATGTACACAGAGGAACCGTTACTGATGTCATACCGTAAATTTGCACATATGGTGCACACTTTTTTGGGCAAAAACTGTTGTGTCAAAAATGGGTTGCGTATTATATGCAGGAACATATAACTTACAACTGATAAATCCATATATGAGCAAGAGAAAAACAACAAAGAATAAGATAAATTTCAAATGTTTTGATTCTATTCATGAATTTTTTTTTTAATAAAAAATAACTTACAACTGATAAATCCATAGAGCACTAAGTAGGAATCAGTTCACAGCACTGTCGTTACTTTTCACTAAACACAGGGTTTTCCATAATTTTGTTAGTAGTAGTCTGTGTAGTCAAAGTAGGAGGCTGGCGAAGCCAGCGGACCCAAGCCGCAAATGATCAAAGTAGCCAGTCAAATTGGCCGGTGACCGGCTCTTATGGAAAACCCTGGAACAGTCACCGATCACTTTTGTTAGTATGTGTTAAACAAACACGATCACTGAAGTCCTTCAAATTCCTCCCCATCATTGTCACTGTTAAAATACAAAGATGGATCAAAGTCTGCCTCGGTAGATTTTTCGTTGTTGTGGTACAACAGGTCGTAATCATCCTCATAATCGTCCTCAATGTCAACATCAACGGCAGGTCCACTGTCAGCCCATCCCATTGATGCTTTGAAGTCGGTGACCTTATGACCTCTCTGGATTTGCATGGCCCACACACACGGTTTTGTCATACTGAAGGCAATGTTGGCATCTCCATGATCACATACAAAAATGTACAGCTCTCTTTCCATCCCTGTCAGACTTTCTGGTCAGAGGGTGGGACTTTCCGACTTTTTTCTCTATGCCCGAATGTTGGATTCTGTGATGTCAAAGTGGGTTGGCACGAAACCCAAGTCTTTTGGCATAGTCAATGGCATCCAGTTTCTTATTGGCTGTAAATGATGTCTGCTGTTTCGCAATGTCAAAATCGATGTAAACAATCTATTACTAAGTACCTTCGGATAGTGTGATAGGTACAGTTACCATGAGAGATCATACTAATACTGAACATATCACTTTAAATCAAGCACCTGTGTGAGTTTGTTTACATAAGATTATCAAATGTGTTAGGGTCACGCTGAATGTGGTTTCCTAATTATCAATGAATTAAAACATTAACTGTTGCACCTCTGTAACATGTAGTCAATATTCATATTCTATATACTTTTTTTTTTTAAAATCTGACCCCAAAAAACGTACCTAGGCACTATACCCACAAAGTTACGGTAATCCAAAATTGTGTCATTGTTTAGCTGGTCATAATGATCTTGCTGTGAGGCCATGACCTCACAAATATAGGAAATACACATCAACTTGTCCTTGAAGTTGTTGTATGTAGTTCCACTAATATGACCTCAGTTTCAATGTATATGTTTAGAAATTTAATTAGAGTTAAAGTGTCATTGGCTTGTCTTACCAAAATTTTACTATAACGTTAATTATTCTGCAAACATATCACTGACTGTGTTAGCCCTTAGAAAGAGCAATCATCAAGGATAATGTGTTATAATTAGACTGAAATAAGTTCTTTTGGGCCCTGTCTATATACATTCCCTCAGCAGGTAATAGGAAAAATATGCTGCCCTACTAGGCTCTAACTAGCAGCTCCTTGGTCTTAAGACGAACACTCTACCACTTGTTGTCAGGGACATTCCCACCATCTGATGCCAGTTTGGTGAGCTGTACGTTTATTTACACAATATCAGATTAATGTCATCTTTGCATGTCACAAAATTTCTGATGCATCAGGAAGCCTAAAAAGGTATGTGTTTGTTTTAATAGGTAGGCTGTTGACATCACTGATATATAAATATATTAGAACAACCAGGAGGGACATTCAGCTGTACTTTTCCGTGCAGGTTGTAGACATTTCTTAACTTTGCCTTACAGATGAAGACAGAGCTAGAAAAAGAGAAAAAAGAGGAGATAGAACGAGTGAAAGAAGAAGGAACAGAACACGAGACGAGTTTAAGGGAACAGCTGAAGAAGGAGTCTGAGGAGGACGCACGTCGCACTGTTGACACTAAGGTAATTACAATAAAACATGCAACTAGATATTGTTTGTTTGCTATATTTATCACCATTCAAATAGCCGGAGTCATTTTGTGGTGGAGATTTCTTACTGAAGCTGGTGGCTATCTCACTGAACAACATGCTGGAGGCCTGTTGCATGCAATCCAGAGCAAGTGTCTGACCATAACACACAAAACGGTTCATTTCCATACTTCCTGAAGAATATTTACCACCCTAGATCAAACCACACACCACAATGCTCTGCTCTATGAACTAAACTTTCATAATTTATATTGAGATGAATGCTTTTTATCAAAATATGGTAAAACACACACAGTCTTTTGAAGTAAGTGTATGTTGTTAATTTTGACTTAAATATCAGCTTCTTAGATAGAGTTCTTCAATCTGATCTGTAGTACACCTACACCAGACTCCATAAGATGTGGTTTGGTGCTAACAGAGTGATCTCCCCTGGTTAGTAGTACACCTACATCAGACTCCATAAGATGTAGTTTGATGTTAACAGTCATCTCCCCTGGTCTGTAGTACACCATAAGATGTAGTTTGTTGTTAACACAGTGATCTCCCCTGATCTATAGTACACATACATCAGACTCCATTAGGGCTGGTTATTCAAGGCCTGGTAGGTGGAAGTCGATGGTTAGTGAAAATGTTCAAACATGACTTCAACAAAATTGGAAACAGTTTTACCATATCTCAGAATCAGATTTGTGGCGATATGTCAGACTGATAAATCATTTTTCTTTTGTCTTTCATGTGTCTGTTTGTTTAGTGGCAGCAATTTGGATAGTATATCGGTATTATACTTTAACCACTGTAGGAGTATGTGAAATGTCCTATGTTTTCCTGATCAATTACAACACTGTTTAAAATCCATCTCCATGGTAAAATTGTGTAAATGGTTAAAACTGATTTATAGAAGAATATTCTTAGATGGATGTTTATTGGTGGTTGGAAGACTGGGAATCACAAATCTGGTCAGGAGATATTATGTTTTTATATAGAGAGTTTTTATTGTGTCGCCTGCAGAGCTGGCAGACACTTAGGGATCTCTCTGTCTGTTGTCACGTGTCGGCAGCCGCGTACGTATGAAAGTTTTGCGGACTTTTTTTGGTCATCCTTTGTGTTATCTAAATGTTTAGTATATGGCTTCTTGTTTGAAGGGTACAGATTAAGTTTGATTTCTGGCTGTCTGTGACCATTCTTGGCAGAGTTATGCCCCTTTGAACTTAGAAAATTCTCTGGGAATATTGTTTTCTGGACTTTCTTTGGTTATGCTTTGAGTTATAGAAATGAAATTTGGTATATGGCTTCTTGTTGGAAGGGTACAGATTAGTTTTGACATCAGTTCGATTTCTGGGTGACCGTAACACTTTATGCTGGCGACACATAAAGTTCCAAGGAATTGAATTTGTCTAATGATGACCTGGACTCCTTATATGACCTTAGTGAATGAGGTAAACCTGTGAGGCTGTTGAAGTTGAGAGTGAGAATAATTACATGTGAACAGGTTGATGGACTTAATATACTGATGGCAAACCTTAAATCTGGATAGTACAAATAGTTTACAATTAACATATTACAGACATAATTTACATGTTTATAAATCATGTTAAATATCAGTATTATATAAATATGGTATAGCTAGGTTACAGGCGAGGTCAAATTAGAGTATATAGATGTTTGTCCCCTGTATATTACCATTATTATCATATCTCTGGGGATGTACATATATATCGATAAATATTGGAAGATTTCTATCCAACATGGTGTTTTAGAATCTTCATTCTGAAGCATTTCTTCGTACAAATTGTTTGGCATTAGACAGTGACAACTGTTGCTGGTACCAACTTGTATAATTCTTATTTTGTCATAAGTAATTATGTGGCACTTTTTAGGGCTTGATAATGGGCCACTCTCTCAGTTGAATTTATCTTAAAATTTATGCATGATTTTGAAAATTTAAAAGTTTACTCAAGGAAATATTTTTTTCGCCAAATAGATAAAAAAAAAGGCTCTATCCATAAAAGACACAAGAAAAATAACAGTATCTCTGCATTCTTTTCTGTATGATAGTGTATTTTTTATAATATTGCACGTCCATACCTGTCATTCATTCAGGTGTGCTCTGTATAACTGGAACTGGGCCAGTGGTATTCTGTACAATTAGATACTTATCTGTTAAGAACGCCATGTTATCACACCTACATCATAGAGAAGAATGTCACAGCTAAAATTGTCATGTCTATTAAATTCTGATTTAAAATGAAAATTAAAATAAATTTTGATTTTTTTTTTATTTATAGATTTTATTTTCATTTTCATTTTTAAATCAGAATTTAATAGATTATGGATTCAACAAATATGTATTTAAATTGATTTAATGAACTGATCAAGTGAACAAGATATAAATACAATATCCTGGTATCTGTAGATATACAGGGATGGTCGCCCATGACTGGCGACAAGATCTTTGTTATTATTATAACAGATATCAAACTGTGGATCTGATGACTCGATCATTTATACTAGAAGTGCTGTCATTACAACAAAGACTATTTCTCCTGCAGTGTAGTAGGTTCTAGTTTAAGTTTGTCAGAAAGGAAGGCTGTCAGTTTGATTCACTCTGCAGCCATTCAATGATAAGTCTAAATTTTTGTTTATCCTTAAATGACCTGAGAATGGCCCACATTAAGACATTTGTTGATAGTTAACATTGCTGTCTTATTGTGTGTGCCTGGTTAAGTTTTTAGAAGACTTAAGGTATAACCACTACAAACGTTTTGTTATCCTAGGTTCTGATGATACTCTGTAGTGTTGTTGACATACATATGCATTACTAACCTGGTGCATTTTAAGTGTTAGGAATTGCATTACATTTTGAAAATGTGTAACTCAGCTATCCTGTATGTGTAATCTAACCACAGAGGCCTTGTGGCTGGCACTGCTATAGTATATATAGTAGGTATAGTAGTTAATCAGGTAGGTGTAAGTATAACAGTAGAATCTAACATACCAATAGTTAAATCTCGATCACATACAATATCCTAAGTTGAGTGATGGTGACAATGAACAGCTGATAGGGATTTGTTTGTTGTTGTTCTTTGGGAGTTTAAATACACACAATGACACATCAGTGTAATTTAAACAACCATATCCCGGTATACATAAAAGTCCTGTAGACTTTCAAGCTTAACCACATTTTTCAAAACGATTTATTTTCAAACCATCTGAAAATTCGTAATCTCATATTTCATTGTAATGATTTTACAAGCTAAATTTAAACTTATGCAATATTTAAACTTTTTTTTATTTCAATTTAAAAAATACAAAAATAGTTTTTCTCATTCTAAATATGGCATGTTTGATAAAGGAAAAATTGGTGTACATTTCTGTCAAACTAAGTGAAACACTACACCACTGCTTACATTCAGTAATCTCTACATATATCTATGGAAATTAGGGTGTTGTAATTATGATATTGGACAGGTCTGGACAAAAATATTCCATTCTAAATATAAAACAGCTCGGTGTCCGGCATTCCTACGGGTCTGGATGGGTGTGTATTATGTTAAAACTGTACGACAGCTCTGTGTGATCAACACTTTACATTATATACTATGTCTGTTGTATAAGGAGGACACCAATAACAGACATCGCGGGCCAAACACCAGGTAACATTTACACCAATATCTTTGTAAGGAATGAACCAGGTAGACAATATCACTGACCAAGAAATGTAGCAACACAATATTGAAATCACTTAGTTTGAACTTGAGTTTGAAGTCATTGATGTGAAGAATTTTAACAATTAAGTTTGTGTAGTATGATAGATTGTTGTCACAGTGTATTCAGTCCTGATAGCCTCAACAACAATTTTCCTTTGTAAAATAACACATAACCATTCTGCCATTAAGAGTGATCATTGATGTGGTGTTGTACATGGTTTTCTAGAATTGTGTAGATGATCCTACTCTTGTCTACCTTGATTGACTTGGGACAATGTTTCACTGTCTGCCTCTTAACTCTGTTTTAGGTTGCTCTAGCTAAAGTGGCCTGGTTTGAGGAGCAGAGAAGTGCTAAGCAGACAGCTGTAGAGAAAGCGGTGAAGCTAACCGAGGCAGAGTGGAAAATAAAGTTAGAAAACTCTGTACAGTCAGAGGTCGACTCTCGGCTGCAGCAAGGTATGACATTTGATAATGATATAATGTTTCGTCCCTTTGGTGTTAGTTTTGGAGAGTTATGTCCCTTGAGTGGTAGTTATGTAACGTTATGTCCCTTGTGTGGTAGTTTTGTAAAGTTATGTCCCTTGTGTGGTAGTTTTGTAAAGTTATGTCCCTTGTGTGGTAGTTTTGTAAAGTTATGTCCCTTGTGTGGTAGTTTTGTAAAATTATGTCCCTTGTATGCTATTTTGTAAAGTTATGTCCCTTGTGTGCTATTTTGTAAAGTTACGTCCCTTGTGTGTAAGTTTTATAAAGTTATGTCCCTTGTGTGGTAGTTTTGTAAAGTTGTGTCCCTTGTGTGGTAGTTTTGTAAAGTTATGTCCCTTGTATGCTATTTTGTAAAGTTATGTCCCTTGTGTGCTATTTTGTAAAGTTATGTCCCTTGTGTGCTATTTTTTAAAGTTACGTCCCTTGTGTGTTAGTTTTATAAAGTTATGTCCCTTGTGTGGTAGTTTTGTAAAGTTATGTCCCTTGTGTGGTAGTTTTGTAAAATTATGTCCCTTGTATGCTATTTTGTAAAGTTATGTCCCTTGTGTGCTATTTTTTAAAGTTAAGTCCCTTGTGTGTTAGTTTTATAAAGTTATGTCCCTTGTGTGGTAGTTTTGTAAAGTTGTGTCCCTTGTGTGGTAGTTTTGTAAAGTTATGTCCCTTGTGTGGTAGTTTTGTAAAGTTATGTCCCTTGTGTGGTAGTTTTGTAAAGTTATGTCCCTTGTGTTTTAGTTGTATAGAGTTATGTCCCTTTGTTAGTTTTATAAAGTTATGTCCCTTGTGTGGTAGTTTTGTAAAGTTATGTCCCTTGTGTGGTAGTTTTATGAAGTTATGTCCTTGACATGTTACAGCAAAAGAAGAGTGGACAGCACAGCGTCGTTTGTCATTTGAAAGTGAACTCAAAAAACAGCTACAGACAGAAAGGGAAGTCATTGAATCAAAACTAACTGCAGATTACACGAAACGCTTAGAAACAGAACGGTCAAAGTGGCTTGAAGAAAACCAAGCCGAGATGAGGCGATCATTGGAGCGGGAAAAATCACGGGCAAAGACAAAGTCAGAGCTAGATGTAGAAACTGCCGTGAAAAAGGAAGCCGAAAAATGGAAGAAGACAATGGAGGACACAGTGAAGAAGAAGGTAGATGAGGAGTTGAGGAAAAAAGTTGAGGAGGAAATGGTAAAGAAAGTTGATGAATTGAAGAAGGAGTTGGACAGAGATGTAGCGGAGCAAGTTGATAATGGAATCAAATTAAAGTTAGAGCAGGTCAAGCTCAAATTGGAGGAAGAAATCACAGCAAGATTGGAGGAAGAGGTCAAGGTTAAATTAGAGGAAGAGGTCAAAGTTCGCCTGGTTGATGCAAGAAAAGACTGGGAGGAAAATAATGAGATAGAAACACAGAAAAAGATTCACAATGAAAAAGAGAAATGGAACAGGAAGAAAAGTAATGAAATCCAGGAAAAACTGGAGGAGGTGAGTGTTGTGTTCATGTACAGGGTGTGAGACTGGTGGAACAGGGGATGGGAGGGAGTAGATGTACAGGGTGTGAGATTGGTGGAACAGGGGATGGGGGTGGACTAGGTGTACAGGGTGTGAGATTGGTGGAACAGGGGATGGGAGGAAGTAGATGTACAGGGTGTGAAAGTGGTGGAACAGGGGATGGTGAACAGGGGATGGGGGTGGACTAGGTGTACAGGGTGTGAGATTGGTGGAACAGGGGATGGGATAGAGTAGATGTACAGGGTGTGAGATTGGTGGAACAGGGGATGGGAGGGAGTAGATGTACAGGGTGTGAGATTGGTGGAACAGGGGATGGGAGGGAGTAGATGTACAGGGTGTGAGATTGGTGGAACAGGGGATGGGAGGGAGTAGATGTACAGGGTGTGAGATTGGTGGAACAGGGGATGGGATGGAGTAGATGTACAGGGTGTGAGATTGGTGGAACAGGGGATGGGGGTGGAGGTGTACAGGGTGTGAGGACAGGGGATAGGAGTAGTACAGGGTGTGAGATTGGTGGAACAGGGGATGGGGGTGGACTAGGTGTACAGGGTGTGAGATTGGTGGAACAGGGGATGGGATGGAGTAGATGTACAGGGTGTGAGATTGGTGGAACAGATTGTGAGATGGTGGAACAGGGGATGGGAGGGAGTAGATGTACAGGGTGTGAGATTGGTGGAACAGGGGATGGGTTGGAGTAGATGTACTGGGTGTGAGTTTGGTGGAACAGGGGATGGGGGTGGAGTAGATGTACAGGGTGTGAGATTGGTGGAACAGGGGATGGGATGGAGTAGATGTACAGGGTGTGAGACTGGTGGAACAGGGGATGGGAGGGAGTAGATGTACAGGGTGTGAGATTGGTGGAACAGGGGATGGGAGGGAGTAGATGTACAGGGTGTGAGATTGGTGGAACAGGGGATGGGGGTGGACTAGGTGTACAGGGTGTGAGATTGGTGGAACATGGGATGGGATAGAGTAGATGTACAGGGTGTGAGATTGGTGGAACAGGGGATGGGAGGGAGTAGATGTACAGGGTGTGAGATTGGTGGAACAGGGGATGGGATGGAGTAGATGTACAGGGTGTGAGATTGGTGGAACAGGGGATGGGAGGGAGTAGATGTACAGGGTGTGAGATTGGTGGAACAGGGGATGGGAGGGAGTAGATGTACAGGGTGTGAGACTGAGTGGAACAGGGTGTGAGATTGGTGGAACAGTGGATGGGAGGGAGAAGATGTACAGGGTGTGAGATTGGTGGAACAGGGGATGGAACAGGGGATGGGAGGGAGTAGATGTACAGGGTGTGAGACTGGTGGAACAGGGGATGGGATGGAGTAGATGTACAGGGTGTGAGACTGGTGGAACAGGGGATGGGAGGGAGTAGATGTACAGGGTGTGAGACTGGTGGAACAGGGGATGGGATGGAGTAGATGTACAGGGTGTGAGATTGGTGGAACAGGGGATGGGGGTGGACTAGGTGTACAGGGTGTGAGATTGGTGGAACAGGGGATGGGACAGGGTGTGAGATTGGTGGAACAGGGGATGGGATGGAGTAGATGTACAGGGTGTGAGATTGGTGGAACAGGGGATGGGATGAAGTAGATGTACAGGGTGTGAGATTGGTGGAACAGGGGATGGGATGGAGTAGATGTACAGGGTGTGAGATTGGTGGAACAGGGGATGGGAGGTAGTAGATGTACAGGGTGTGAGACTGGTGGAACAGGGGATGGGATGGAGTAGATGTACAGGGTGTGAGACTGGTGGAACAGGGGATGGGATGGAGTAGATGTACAGGGTGTGAGATTGGTGGAACAGGGGATGGGAGGAGTAGGTGTACAGTGTGAGATGGTGGAACAGGGTGTGAGTAGATGACAGGGTGTGAGATTGGTGGAACAGGGGATGGGATACAGGGTGTGATGGGGGAGGGAGTAGATGTACAGGGTGTGAGACTGGTGGAACAGGGGATGGGAGGGAGTAGATGTACAGGGTGTGAGACTGGTGGAACAGGGGTGTGATGGGGGGGATGGGATGGAGTAGATGTAGGGTGTGACTGGTGGAACAGGGGATAGGTGTACAGGGTGTGAGACAGGTGGAACAGGTGATGGGAGAGTAGATGTACAGGGTGTGAGACTGGTGGAACAGGGGATGTGAGAAACCTGATGGTACACAGGTGTTAGTAGTTATTGAGTGTACAGGGTGTGAGACTGGTGGAGTACACAGGGTGTGTGTTAGGTGTTAGGGTGTGAACCTGATCAGTACACAGCTGTGTTAGGTGTTATTAAACCTGATCAGTACACAGCTGTGTTAGGTGTTATTAAACCTGATCAGTACACAGCTGTGTTAGGTGTTATTAAACCTGATCAGTACACAGCTGTGTTAGGTGTTATTAAACCTGATGTACACAGCTGTGTTAGGTGTGTATTAAACCTGATCAGTACACAGCTGTGTTAGGTGTTATTAAACCTGATCAGTACACAGCTGTGTTAGGTGTTATTAAACCTGATCAGTACACAGCTGTGTTAAGGTGTTATTAAACCTGATGTACACAGCTGTGTTATGTTATTAACCTGATCAGTACACAGCTGTGTTAGGTGTTATTAAACCTGATCAGTACACAGCTGTGTTAGGTGTTATTAAACCTGATCAGTACACAGCTGTGTTAAGTGTTATTAAACCTGACCAGTACACAGCTGTGTTAGGTGTTATTAACCTGATCAGTACACAGCTGTGTTAGGTGTTATTAACCTGATCAGTACACAGCTGTGTTAGGTGTTATTAAACCTGATCAGTACACAGCTGTGTTAGATGTTATTAAACCTGATCAGTACACAGCTGTGTTAGGTGTTATTAAACCTGATCAGTACACAGCTGTGTTAGGTGTTATTAAACCTGATCAGTACACAGCTGTGTTAGGTGTTATTAAACCTGATCAGTACACAGCTGTGTTAGGTGTTATTAAACCTGATCAGTACACAGCTGTGTTAGATGTTATTAAACCTGATCAGTACACAGCTGTGTTAGATGTTATTAAACCTGATCAGTACACAGCTGTGTTAGGTGTTATTAAACCTGATCAGTACACAGCTGTGTTAGGTGTTATTAACCTGATCAGTACACAGCTGTGTTAGGTGTTATTAACCTGATCAGTACACAGCTGTGTTAGGTGTTATTAACCTGATCAGTACACAGCTGTGTTAGGTGTTGTTAACCTGATCAGTACACAGCTGTGTTAGGTGTTGTTAACCTGATCAGTACACAGCTGTGTTAGGTGTTGTTAACCTGATCAGTACACAGCTGTGTTAGGTGTTGTTAACCTGATCAGTACACAGCTGTGTTAGGTGTTATTATACCTGATCAGTACACAGCTGTGTTAGGTGTTGTTAACCTGACCAGTACACAGCTGTGTTAGGTGTTGTTAACCTGATCAGTACACAGCTGTGTTAGGTGTTGTTAACCTGATCAGTACACAGCTGTGTTAGGTGTTATTAAACCTGATCAGTACACAGCTGTGTTAGGTGTTATTATACCTGATCAGTACACAGCTGTGTTAGGTGTTGTTAAACCTGATCAGTACACAGCTGTGTTAGGTGTTATTAAACCTGATCAGTACACAGCTGTGTTAGGTGTTGTTAACCTGATCAGTACACAGCTGTGTTAGGTGTTATTAAACCTGATCAGTACACAGCTGTGTTAGGTGTTATTAAACCTGATCAGTACACAGCTGTGTTAGGTGTTATTAAACCTGATCAGTACACAGCTGTGTTAGGTGTTGTTATACCTGATCAGTACACAGCTGTGTTAGGTGTTATTATACCTGATCAGTACACAGCTGTGTTAGGTGTTGTTAACCTGATCAGTACACAGCTGTGTTAGGTGTTATTAAACCTGATCAGTACACAGCTGTGTTAGGTGTTATTAAACCTGATCAGTACACAGCTGTGTTAGGTGTTGTTAAACCTGATCAGTACACAGCTGTGTTAGGTGTTATTATACCTGATCAGTACACAGCTGTGTTAGGTGTTATTAAACCTGATCAGTACACAGCTGTGTTAGGTGTTATTAAACCTGATCAGTACACAGCTGTGTTAGGTGTTATTATACCTGATCAGTACACAGCTGTGTTAGGTGTTATTATACCTGATCAGTACACAGCTGTGTTAGGTGTTATTAAACCTGATCAGTACACAGCTGTGTAAGGTGTTATTAAACCTGATCAGTACACAGCTGTGTTAGGTGTTATTAAACCTGATCAGTACACAGCTGTGTTAGATGTTGTTAACCTGATCAGTACACAACTGTGTTAGGTGTTATTAAACCTGATCAGTACACAGCTGTGTTAGGTGTTGTTATACCTGATCAGTACACAGCTGTGTTAGGTGTTATTATACCTGATCAGTACACAGCTGTGTTAGATGTTGTTAACCTGATCAGTACACAGCTGTGTTAGATGTTGTTAACCTGATCAGTACACAGCTGTGTTAGGTGGTATTATTTTTGTTGATGTTTATAATTTAGGATTTGTTAAAGGACTTTAAAGAAGATAACAGCCTTACAACATGTTTCTGTAATCATTTTTGTATCAAGGAGAGGCTGTCTCTACAAGGAGAACAAGAGAAACACTTGAGGGAAAGACTAGAGAAAGAACAAGCCAAGTGGGAGGGTACATTTCAGGAACGAGTTGCTGAGGAAAGGGCCAAATGGACCATGGAACAGTCGCTGAAAAACCAACAGATACTGGACCAGGCCAAACAGATGTGGGAGGAGTCTCATGAACTTAGTGTACAGAAAATCCAGGACTCCATGGAGGAGCAGATTCAGGAGAGGATTTCTGCTGAGGTACACGAGGAGAGAAAAATCACTTCCTCTGGAAACATGTGATTAAAGTTCTGGTGTAGGATACTGTGTAACACTGATATGATCAATAACAGTGATAAGTAGGTCTCCTTACAGTTAAATAGCTTGTTCAAAGTGGAAAGGCAAAAAGTCTCTCTGCAGTTGCCTGATTACTGTATTAGTAGCTTCTACCATATAGAAAAGTTTGTAATGATGATAGATTTACATCTTATTTCCAATATGGAACTGATGTTTATACACATGTACAATGTAAACGTATAAACTTGACACTGTCACATAAATATCATATTTAGAGCAATATCACAGATATGTGCCATGTTACGTATTCAAATCCTGACTTTAATACACGGAATTCAAAGTATAAAGTAGTGTCTGCAGGTACGATGTTGTAAATGGTTCAACATGGATGTTTGATGTTTTAATGAAAATGTATGGATAAAACGAAGATAATTTTACAGGTGTCTCTGGCTATAGAGGAGGCACGGACAGACTGGAGTCGGGAGAAGGACCAGGAAGTGTCCGCTAATATTACCTCCTCAGAACTCTCCAATAGTGTGCTTAAAGAGGTATGTTTTTTAGAGTAGAGCTGTAACAGCACATTCAGTGTCGGTGAAACTCATGACTTGATCTCCTGTCTGGATGATCTTTAGTATTTCCATATGAAAAGCTTCTGACACTTATATCGTAATAAATGAAATGGGAAATACTTTTGTGTCCAGATTTGGTAGTTTAGGAAAAAAGTCATTCTGAAGCAATGTGTTAGTAATTAAATCTATTGCAATACATCTATGATACATTGTGACTCTAAATGTCTATTTTTTGATAATTGTAAAGGAGATTGAAGTTCTAAAGTCTCAGACTGGTCGTCTGCAACAAGAGTTGAAACAGAGAGAGGATGCCTGGCAAACACAACGAGCTGAACTGACCCGCCTCAAGGATGGGGAGAGAAAGCGGGCAATGGAAGAGATACAAGATCAGTGTGAAAGAGATCACCAAAAATTTACAGCGGAACACCACGATACGCTAACACAGGCGCTGAGAGCTGCCCGCGAACAACATTCACGGGAAAAGGTAGGTCATCGCCACACACTAACACAGACACTGAGAGCTGCCCATGAATAACATTCACAGGAAAAGGTAGGTCATCGCCACACACTAACAAAGATGCTCAGAGCTGTCTGTGAACAACATTCACGGGAAAAGGTAGGTCATCCCAACCAATAACACAGGCGCTGAGAGCTGTCTGTGAACAACATTCACATGAAAAGGTAGGTCATCCCAACACACTAACACAGGCGCTGAGAGCTGCCTGCAAACAACATTCACAGGAAAAGGTAGGTCATCGCCACACACTAACACAGGCGCTGAGAGCTGCCCGCGAACAACATTCACAGGAAAAGGTAGGTCATCGCCACACACTAACACAGGTGCTGAGAGCTGCCCGCGAACAACATTCACAGGAAAAGGTAGGTCATCGCCACACACTAACACAGACACTGAGAGCTGCCCGCGAACAACATTCACAGGAAAAGGTAGGTCATCACCACACACTAACACAGGCGCTGAGAGCTGCCCGCGAACAACATTCACGGGAAAAGGTAGGTCATTGCCACACACTAACACAGGCACTGAGAGCTGCCTGCGAACAACATTCACGGGAAAAGGTAGGTCATCACCACACACTAACACAGACACTGAGAGCTGTCCACTAACAACATTCACGGGAAATGATAGGTCATCGTTGGTTTTCTAAAGCACATGTTTTTGTACCTTTTGAAAACTTGAGTGAAAGACATACCATATACCTCAACCACTTATAGCGTCACTTCTATGTAACTCATAGATATATAAAAATGTTAACACAGGCCTAAATTTTCAATTTCTTTATTTTAGAAGTGTGTTCAATAAAAACAATTTCATAATGTTGCTATAGAGACAGTGGGATTTGGATTTCTTTTTCTTAATGTTTTTGTTGTTTTGAAGGCTAAATAAATATTTTGAAATATAATGTCACCAACTGAGATGACCAATGATTTGTTTTATGTGTTGTCATATTTGTGATTAGCTCAGTAACAGCAGTGAGGACTGTTTTGTAGGCTGACCTGGAGCGAAGATACTCAGAGGAGGTAGAGTCGCTGAAGATGAAGGAATCTCGCCTACAGGAAAAATTGAAGAGTTTAGGGATAGAGGAGGTACTGTATCAAAATCTAGGGAAACAGGAGGTACTGTATCAAAATCTAGGGATACTGAAAGTACTGTGTTAGTGTCTAGGGATACAAGAGGTGTTGTGTTAGTGTCTAGGGTTACAGGAAGTACTGTGTTAGTGTCTAGGGTTACAGGAGGTGTTGTGTTAGTGTCTCGGGATACAGGAGGTGTTGTGTTAGTGTCTAGGGATACAGAAGGTGTTGTGTTAGTGTCTAGGGATACAGGAAGTACTGTGTTAGTGTCTAGGGATACAGGAAGTACTGTGTTAGTGTCTAGAGATACAGGAGGTGGTGTGTTAGTGTCAAGGGATACAGGAAGTACTGTGTTAGTGTCTAGGGATACAGGAGGTACTGTGTTAGTGTCTAGGGATACAGGAAGTAATGTGTTAGTGTCTAGGGATACAGGAGATGGTGTGTTAGTGTCAATGGATACAGGAAGTACTGTGTTAGTGTCTAGGGATACAGGAAGTACTGTGTTAGTGTCTAGAGATACAGGAGGTACTGTGTTAGTGTCTAGAGATACAGGAGGTGGTGTGTTAGTGTCAAGGGATACAGGAAGTACTGTGTTAGTGTCTAGGGATACAGGAGGTACTGTGTTAGTGTCTAGGGATACAGGAAGTACTGTGTTAGTGTCTAGAGATACAGGAAGTACTGTGTTAGTGTCTAGGGATACAGGAGGTACTGTGTTAGTGTCTAGGGATACAGGAAGTACTGTGTTAGTGTCTAGGGATACAGGAGGTACTGTGTTAGTGTCTAGGGATACAGGAAGTACTGTGTTAGTGTCTAGGGATACAGGAGGTACTGTGTTAGTGTCTAGGGATACAGGAAGTACTGTGTTAGTGTCTAGAGATACAGGAAGTACTGTGTTAGTGTCTAGGGATACAGGAGCTACTGTGTTAGTGTCTAGGGATACAGGAGGTGTTGTGTTAGTGTCTAGGGATACAGGAAGTACTGTGTTAGTGTCTAGGGATACAGGAGGTACTGTGTTAGTGTCTAGGGATACAGGAAGTACTGTGTTAGTGTCTAGGGATACAGGAGGTACTGTTACATATCGCTTTTACTGAGAAATGATATAGATAGTCAGCCTACTGTAATTTACACTTTTGATGTTTTTTTTTCATGCTCCTTTGTTGCTTTTATTCAAAAAAGTAATTTTGTTTAAGTCACCAGAACATGAACATGTTTCCTATGGATTTAAGTTTGAGGAACTCTCCCAAAAATAAAAAAAATTGTTAAGAATGGTGTTATTGGGAGGGTACGTAACAACTGGTAAAATGTGAAAAACCAAACAATGTGAAGTAGACTATGTTATAGACTAGATGTGGGATCTTCATGCCAGTTTTGTGTGTTTCAGCCCACACACCAGCGAGCCATTGAGAAAGAGCGTGATATGTTTGAAAAAGAAAAATGGCGACTGCAACAAGAAGTACAGGAAAGAGATGCATTGTTGGAAAAAGCTGATGTTCACCTGTCACAGGAAGTAGATAAATTGCGAGCGGAACTTGAGTCAGCATACCAACAGAGATTGGAAGCAGAGACTGCCAGCCTGAAACAGAAATTTGACCTGGAGTCAAATCGTCCAGAACAAAGGGAGATAATAATGGATAAAACAGCAGTGTTAGAAACAGAAATAAAAAAACTGAAAGATGAAAATAACAAAATTTGTAGAGAAAATCAGAACCTGTTATTAGAACTTGAGACGTTAAAAAGTGAGAATCAGAAAAACTTAATGGCATTACAAGTACTTCAAACTGAAAAGGACATCAGTGTTGAAGAAAACAACAATGTAAAGGTCGAAGTTCAAAAGGTCAAGGCTCAAATGTTTGAAGAGACAAAGCGATATGTGAAGGAAGTTCAGAACTTGAATTCAAAGATGGCTGAACAATCCCAAGTACTTAGTGAGTTCCAGGCTCAAAAGGATGAACTGATGTCTGCCAAAGTTGTCTGTCAGACGCTGGTTAATAAGAATGAGTCCCTTCTAGCTGAAAAACAATCATTGATGGAAGAGAAAGAAAAAATACTTCTTGAATTAGAAAATGTAAAAAGTGAAAATGAAGACCTTAGCAAGCTTAAGTTTGAAATTGAGAAACTTCACATTGAGGCAGAAGTGTTCACAAAGCTACGTGCTGAAGTAGAACGTCTAGAGACAGAGAATGAACAGATCAGTCACCTCAGGGCAAACATTGAGCGACTGGAGGCTGATAATGCAGGTATGAACAAGCTGAGGGCTAAAGTGGCCAGACTGGAGGCAGAGACTGACACAATGAGTCAGCTGAAAATTGAGGTGGCACAACTCCAGGCTGAGAACACTAATATCACTGCCCTACGGGCTGAAATGGATAGGCTTCAGACAGAGGTTGAGGAAGTCAGCAAACTTAGGACTGAAAAACAAAAATTAGAGAAGGAAAACAAAGGCATAGCTGATATGGAGGCGGAGATTGGACGCCTGACCTTGGAGGTAGAGAATGTCAGTCAGCTAAGGTCAGAGGTTGAGAGGTTACAGTCAGAGATGACAAAACACCAGGACAAGGTCACCAAGGTAGAGGGGGAGAAAAGTCGACTTGTGGATAATATCCGAGACATGGAATCAGCATATCGTCGGGACATGGTCAGTCAGAAACAACGTCAAGAGGACACCAACAGCAGGCTAAGACAGGCAGAAAAACATCTGGCTGATGCCAAACAGCATTACAGGTAATCTTCAACACAAATAACTACAAGTTATCCTCAACACATACAAAAATCATGGTTATTAAATATCTATTAGCGTAAGAATAGCCATCGGCAACAGTCTTCCTTACTTTAGTATCCTCAAATGCTAACTTATGTGACAAAACCTGCCATTGTTATGCTGTAGCTGTCAGATGTGAACTATAAGCCCAGACGTAGAAACTTAAAGACTGACATCTGGTTCAGGACTGATAAAGATTGTGATAACAAACAAAACAGTCACACTATAATCTTTCTTGGTAAAGTTCATAAAAGTTCAAAAGTTATACCACTAAAGTGTTACATAGATATCAGTATTATAAGGATGTTGTGAGATGTTGCCTGTATGTGTAAAGGTAGCCATTCTGTAACCAAGGATTACATGAAATGAAACCAAGATCTGAGACAGTATTATCACCTATGGACAGGGCACAAGAGAATTTTTTTGTGTGAAAAAGAATGAAATGAAACTGGTTGAAATTTCAGTAGTCTTAAGTCCTGTAAGGATAAATCAGTTGTATGATGTAGCATTGCTGACGAGTCCTAGAAGGACAAAACAGCTGTATGATGTAAATCACTGACGAGACCTAGAAGGACGAAACAGCTGTATAATGTAACATCACTGACGAGTCCTAGAAGGACGAAACAGCTGTGTGATGTAGCATCACTGACGAGTCCTAGAAGGACGAAACAGCTGTGTGATGTAGCATCACTGACGAGTCCTAGAAGGACGAAACAGCTGTGTGATGTAGCATCACTGACGAGTCCTAGAAGGACGAAACAGCTGTGTGATGTAGCATCACTGACGAGTCCTAGAAGGACGAAACAGCTGTGTGATGTAGCATCACTGACGAGTCCTAGAAGGACGAAACAGCTGTGTGATGTAGCAACACTGAGGAGTCCTAGAAGGACGAAACAGCTGTATGATGTAGCATCACTGACGAGTCCTAGAAGGACGAAACAGCTGTGTGATGTCCTAGACAGACGAAACAGCTGTGTGATGTAGCATCACTGACGAGTCCTAGACAGAAGAAACAGCTGTGTGATGTAGCATCACTGACGAGTCCTAGAAGGACGAAACAGCTGTGTGATGTAGCATCACTGACGAGTCCTAGAAGGACGAAACAGCTGTGTGATGTAGCATCACTGACGAGTCCTAGAAGGACGAAACAGCTGTGTGATGTAGCATCACTGACGAGTCCTAGAAGGACGAAACAGCTGTGTGATGTAGCATCACTGACGAGTCCTAGAAGGACGAAACAGCTGTATGATGTAGCAACACTGACAAGTCCTAGAAGGACGAAACAGCTGTATGATGTAGCATCACTGACGAGTCCTAGAAGGACGAAACAGCTGTATGATGTAGCATCACTGACGAGTCCTAGACAGACGAAACAGCTGTGTGATGTAGCATCACTGACGAGTCCTAGACAGACGAAACAGCTGTGTGATGTAGCATCACTGACGAGTCCTAGACAGACGAAACAGCTGTGTGATGTAGCATCACTGACGAGTCCTAGAAGGACGAAACAGCTGTGTGATGTAGCGTCACTGACGAGTCCTAGAAGGACGAAACAGCTGAATAATGTAACATCACTGACGAGTCCTAGACAGACGAAACAGCTGTGTGATGTAGCATCACTGAAGAGTCCTAGAAGGACGAAACAGCTGTATGATGTAACATCACTGACGAATTCTAGAAGGACGAAACAGCTGTGTGATGTAGCATCACTGACGAGTCCTAGAAGGACGAAACAGCTGTGTGATGTAGCATCACTGACGAGTCCTAGAAGGATGAAACAGCTGTATGATGTAACATCACTGACGAATTCTAGAAGGACGAAACAGCTGTGTGATGTAGCATCACTGACGAGTCCTAGAAGGACGAAACAGCTGTGTGATGTAGCATCACTGACGAGTCCTAGAAGGACGAAACAGCTGTGTGATGTAGCATCACTGAAGAGTCCTAGAAGGACGAAACAGCTGTATGATGTAGCAACACTGACGAGTCCTAGAAGGACGAAACAGCTGTATGATGTAGCATCACTGACGAGTCCTAGAAGGACGAATCATCTGTATAATGCTGTTTTATTCCTAATTGAACTACAGTGTACACTTACTGAAATGTTATTTTCTTGCATGTGTTTTGTACAATATCACAATGTTAGACACTTTCTTTTTAATATGTTATTTATTTAATTCATTCCTCAATCTATTTACCGTATAAAAACCAGTATTGGAATCCACACTATAGAATGTATATCAGCATTCCTCAAACAATTCCTGTGTTTGAATTATTGTCATGATGTTACTGTTTAGGTCCCAGATTGACAAGCTCAAGAAGTCCCTGGAGATGGAAAACAACATGGCCATGGAGACCATGAAGAACAAGATGGTGGAGATGCAGAAGGCACATTTGGTGGCACTGGACAGCATGAAGAAACAGTATCGATCAGAGATGGAGAAGGTCAAGGCAGAGCGACCTCCAAAGGACCTCAACACTGCAGAAGTACAGGTACAGTTACAAGGGTGATTTCTCCTACAAAAGTACAGGTATAGTTACAAGGGAGATTTCTCCTACAGAAGTACAGGTACAATATAGTTATAAGGGAGATTTCTCCTACAGAAGTACAGGTACAATATAGTTACAAGGAAGATTTCTTCTACAGAAGTACAGGTACAATATAGTTACAAGGGAGATTTCTCCTACAGAAGTACAGGTACAATATAGTTACAAGGGAGATTTCTCCCACAGAAGTACAGGTACAATATAGTTACAAGGGAGATTTCTTCTACAGAAGTACAGGTACAATATAGTTACAAGGGAGATTTCTCCTACTAAGGGAGTTTCCACTACAGAAGTACGGGGATTGAGTACAACATTACAGGTACTAAGGGGATTTCCCCTACAGTCATACAGGTACTGAGGGGATTTCCCCTACTATCGTACAGGTACTGAGGGGATTTCCCCTACAGCCATACAGGTACTGAGGGGATTTCCCCTACAGTCGTACAGGTACTGAGGGGATTTCCCCTACAGCCGTACAGGTACTGAGGGGATTTCCCCTACAGCCGTACAGGTACTGAGGGGATTTCCCCTACAGCCGTACAGGTACTGAGGGGATTTCCCCTACAGCCGTACAGGTACTGAGGGGATTTCCCCTACAGTACAGGTACTGAGGGGATTTCCCCTACAGCCGTACAGGTACTGAGGGGATTTCCCCTACAGTCGTACAGGTACTGAGGGGATTTCCCCTACAGCTGTACAGGTACTGAGGGGATTTCCCCTACAGTCGTACAGGTACTGAGGGGATTTCCCCTACAGCCGTACAGGTACTGAGGGGATTTCCCCTACAGCCGTACAGGTACTGAGGGGATTTCCCCTACAGCCGTACAGGTACTGAGGGGATTTCCCCTACAGCCGTACAGGTACTGAGGGGATTTCCCCTACAGCCGTACAGGTACTGAGGGGATTTCCCCTACAGCCGTACAGGTACTGAGGGGATTTCCCCTACAGCCGTACAGGTACTGAGGGGATTTCCCCTACAGTCGTACAGGTACTGAGGGGATTTCCCCTACAGCCGTACAGGTACTGAGGGGATTTCCCCTACAGTCGTACAGGTACTGAGGGGATTTCCCCTACAGTCGTACAGGTACTGAAGGGATTTCCATAACATTAAGGGCTGGTATTACTCTACTCAGTGAGTTTGTTTAAGAATCTGTTTGGCTACTTTGTGTATTTGTGTTGATTCCCAATATGTAACAGTTTAATAGGTTGTGATAGTAATCATGTCTCTGATGGTAATCTTCTCGGCTTGTTAGTAAACTTTCAGGAAATGTTGCCATAGAAACGGATGTTATGATTGTTGAATTTCTGTCACCAGACCGACTCGGAGGATGATGAGCAGGGAGTGATGGAACTCAGGGAACAGTACCTGGATACTGTTAACAAGATTAAAGGTGAGGATTTATCATTCAGCATTAAAGTCAAAGAAAATCACCCCAGATCAAGGTTTAAAATCAAGGCAAATCACCCCAGTACAAGGTTTAAAATCAAGGCAAATCATTCCAGTACAAGGTTTAAAATCAAGGCAAATCATTCCAGTTTCATTCCAAATGTCTATTTCTTGTTAGAATACAGCTGAGATGTAACAATATTGATATGCTGATGTTACTGGTGTTATGGTGATGATGATGAAGGACGAAACAGCTTTATGATGCTCTGTTTGGCTCTACCGTTTCTTACTCTAAATTATAAAAAAGTGCTATTCACTTGTGAATCATTTGTTCAATCTTTGATTTATTTAAAACTAATGGTATTGTGTTGTAGATGATGTTATGCGACACATCACAGAGACAAACATGCGTGCAGCTGAAACTGTCAGGTGCGAGATGGCTCAAGAACGCAACACCACACTCACAGAACTCAAACGCATCTACATGGAAAATGTTCGCAAAATACTCCAAAATGAAATCATGGGGTAAGTGTATACAGTGAAATTCAAGTATAACACTGAAGTCAGTAACAGGTCAGTCTTCTTTGATCAAGAAGGACCACAGATTCTTAACATTTCATCACAAACCACAGATTTGTATCACTTCATCACAAACCACAGATTTGTATCACTTCATCAAAAACCACAGATTTGTAACATTTGATCACAAACCACAGATTTGTATCACTTCATCACAAACCACAGATTTGTATCACTTCATCACAAACCACAGATTTGTAACATTTGATCACAAACCACAGATTTGTATCACTTCATCACAAACCACAGATTTGTATCACTTCATCACAAACCACAGATTTGTATCACTTCATCACAAACCACAGATTTGTATCACTTCATCACATACCATTTGAACAGATTTGTATCACTTCATCACAAACCACAGATTTGTATCACTTCATCACAAACACAACAGATTTGTAACATTTGATCACAAACCACAGATTTGTATCACTTCATCACAAACCACAGATTTGTATCACTTCATCACAAAACACAGATTTGTATTTGTCACAAACCATTTGTATCACACAAACCACAGATTTGTAACATTTGATCACAAACCACAGATTTGTATCACTTCATCACAAACCACAGATTTGTATCACTTCATCACAAACCACAGATTTGTAATATTTTCATCACAAACCACAGATTTGTATCACTTCATCACAAACCACAGATTTGTAACATTTGATCACAAACCACAGATTTGTAACATTTGATCACAAACCACAGATTTGTAACATTTGATCACAAACCACAGATTTGTAACATTTGATCACAAACCACAGATTTGTAACATTTGATCACAAACCACAGATTTGTAACATTTGATCACAAACCACAGATTTGTAACATTTGATCACAAACCACAGATTCGTAACATTTGATCACAAACCACAGATTCGTAACATTTGATCACAAACCACAGATTTGTAACATTTGATCACAAACCACAGATTTGTAACATTTGATCACAAACCACAGATTTGTAACATTTGATCACAAACCACAGATTTGTAACATTTGATCACAAACCACAGATTTATATCACTTCATCACAAACCACAGATTTGTAACATTTGATCACAAACCACAGATTTGTAACATTTGATCACAAACCACAGATTTGTAACATTTGATCACAAACCACAGATTTATATCACTTCATCACAAACCACAGATTTGTAACATTTGATCACAAACCACAGATTTGTAACATTTGATCACAAACCACAGATTTGTATCACTTCATCACAAACCACAGATTTGTAACATTTGATCACAAACCACAGATTTGTAACATTTGATCACAAACCACAGATTTGTATCACTTCATCACAAACCACAGATTTGTATCACTTCATCACAAACCACAGATTTGTATCACTTCATCACAAACCACAGATTTGTATCACTTCATCACAAACCACAGATTTGTATCACTTCATCACAAACCACAGATTTGTATCACTTCATCACAAACCACAGATTTGTATCACTTCATCACAAACCACAGATTTGTAATATTTTCATCAGAGGCTTGATAAGCTGAACCTTGACCTTTGGTCAGGATAACAATAGATATGTGAGATATATAAGAACACTTATACATTTTCAGGGCCAACATTGAAGCCAAGCTAGCTGATATCGAACAGGCTTTGGATGTCATTTCCTTTGATAAACCATTGTCAAGGTCATTGAGTCCTGGGTCCTCAAGGTCATCAACACCAACACCAACAAGAGAGGTGGAGGTGACACGCATCCATGACACTCAAGGGTCAGGGGTCAGTAATGGTGTGTACAGTGGGCCTATTGGCGGTGCTGACCAGAGGAGGGTTCCTAGGTCTGTACAAACTGATCGTTTCTCACACAATGGGAACAGCTCACCGAAAAATGGTGCCCGCTCTGACAAAACATATGGTAAACAGCGTGGAGACAATCGCAGAACACCAATAGAACGGACCCAGACTGCGAATAATTCAGAACGCCAAGATAATGGTCAGTCTTCGCAATATACCCAGAATGGTAAAACTACTGAACACCACAACACTGGGTCAATGCTTCCTCCTAAAACTCGGGTCACCAGAGGTCACACCAAGGAAGTGAAATTTAGCCGTTCTGTGGAGGAACGTCACAATCGCACTAAAAGTTTGCCTGGCTCTCGTATAACCAGTAAAAACAAGCTAGTGAGCTTTCGTACAGTGTCTCCTATCTCGTCCAGTGATAACTCCGACCCAGAGACGTTCATCACCACACGTCAACGCAAGGCTGACCACAGTGACAACAGACTTCCAAGTCGTTTTTTATCTCCATCTAATGAACCACGATTAGCATCTTTATCCAATTCTTCCTTTGAAGCTGTTGACCCCCGACCTCAGACGGTACCACTTCACGGAGCCCTCTATAAAACTGTGTCTGAGCCGGAGCTAGGCTCAGAACAGCCACGTACAGACTACAGCTTTGGTAACTACAAATACACTTCGTTGAGGGATGGCTTGTCCAAATACCGCTCTACCTCTCCCACCAAGGACAGCACAAGTGCATCACATGATGACCTTCGAGGGTACAACGAACCCGAGCTGGAGATGTTAGACCACAAGTCCTACAGTATCGATGTTGGTCTAAATACATTAGGGCTGGGCTGGACCTCACCACATAAGTTTAATCCCTCCCCAGAGCGTCTGAACACCAGTAGTCATGATGCTGGAGAGTCACCTGTAGGCACACCCAGGAGAGGTCATAAGGTCAATGAGAAAAGGTCACAAAGTTCAGGTCCTCGAAGCCGTGAAGTCACGAAATCTGCACCTTGGGATATTGAAAAGCGTTACTATAATTACCGATACCAACAGCCCGTTAAACATCTTGTAGAGAAGTACCAGGGTTTGGGCTTGAAAGACTAAATGATGCTGAACTTTTTATGAGCTGAGCTAATTATCTGTATGGATTGTTATCATTATAACCTAGTTCACATAGTCAATACTTAGTGAATGGTTCAGTGAAGGGGCCTCTTTAGTGTAGTTTTGTAGTTTATGGTTCAGTGAAGGGGCCTCTTATTGTAGTTTTGTCCTTGAAATATTAGTGTATGGTCTCTGAGCATGATTAGAGGAATATAAAATATTAGAGTACATGTCTATCTTGTTCTAACTTATGCTAACAATGGCCAGTTTATATTCATATTTGGTTTACAATCCTCTTAAGAACACATGTATAATGTAAGGATGAGTTGTTTATGTCAAAATAGTTTTTTAGGAGTATTGTTTTTTTTCTTTTTTTTTATGTTTGAATGAAACCATGAAATCCTAATGACGTTGAACAGGAAATGAAGTAGAAAAGTCTGTTTTGTGACTTCTAAGAAATTTTCAGTAAGTGATATCTCAGCAATCCTGTTCCTGTGCAAGTTTCAGGAGCACCTGAGCTTGTGTTTGTGTTTTCCTTTTTTTCTTTTTCTCTTCTCCTTTTTTTGGGGATGGGGGAGGGAGATATGGGGGAGAGGTTAGAAGGTTAGGTTTTAATGGATGAAAGTTAATCATTGTCTTGTAACAGAAGAATTATTATATAAAACATGGATTGTCCTTAATAATGTACTGATGAATTGATTGTAAAAATTTTACCTCAGTGGGAGTTTGTGACATTGAAAATGTTGGGGTGAAGAAAACATCTGTGATATATACATAGTTTTGTATGGAAACATACAGAAAATCTTTTTCATTTTTTTTTTTCTGAATCTTTTTGTTGGTAGAAGCATGGTTAATATTTGTGTAATAGGGATAATTTTAGGTTTCAAATTTCAATGTTAAACAGACTGTTTTGTCATGAAGTATAATCAGTCTTGACAGGCTTCAGTAGACATATATAAGTTTATAGACAACTGTAGATATAAAACTCAGGAAGACTTTTTCTCTCTGTGCTGTAGGATCATCATCAGTAGGTAAAGAGGCGGTGTTTTATTCCTAGTTATATACAATGTATATATAGATATACAGTAGTGGAAATATAAACATAGTGTCTTCCTTAATAGTGTAAGGAGAGTATTACAATGATCAGTAGATCATGCTGCAGTTCTGTGTTATGTAGAATTTTTCAGTATTACAATGTGTAATGTGTATTAGTATGTGCACCAGGCCTTCAACACTGTGTACTAGGCCTACAACACTGTGTACTAGGCCTACAACACTCTGTATTAGGCCTACAACACTGTGTACTAGGCCTTCAACACTGTATTAGGCCTACAACACAGCGTATTAGGCCAACAACACTGTGTACCAGGCCTTCAACACTGTGTACTAGGCCTACAACACTGTGTACTAGACCTACAACACTGTGTACTAGGCCTACAACACAGTGTATTAGGCCTACAACACAGTGTACAAGGCCTACAACATGTTGTACTTGACCTGCAACACAGTGTATTAGGCCTACAACACTGTGTACTAGGCCTACAACACAGTGTACTAGGCCTACAACACAGTGTATTAGGCCTACAACACTGTGTACTAGACCTACAACACTGTGTACTAGGCCTACAACACAGTGTATTAGGCCTACAACACTGTGTACTAGGCCTTCAACACTGTGTACTAGGCCTACAACACAGTGCACTAGGCCTACAACACAGTGTACTAGGCCTACAACACAGTGCAATAGGCCTACAACACAGTGCACTAGGCCTACAACACGGTGCACTAGGCCTACAACACGGTGTACTAGGCCTACAACACTGTGCACTAGGCCTACAATATGTTGTATAGTTATAAGTAATGTCTAATTTAGTTGGTCTATTTCTAGCTTGCTTTATAAGAACAAGTAATTGTTATGATGAAATCATATTTTTGTAACTTACAACTGCACGGGTTAGCTGTCTTGCCTTATAAATCCAGCCGGATAAGACACAGTGGTAAATTTACTGTATAGATATCATGTCAAACAGTACAACATTTGTAATAGTTGTGTAAATTCGATCTGGTGCAAAATCTTAACACATTCCATAATTAGAGTTGTCTCCCCTCCATATAATAGAAAAATTATTTTTTAACCTTTATAAAAATGACATTCTATAGGAATTCTCATTGTTATATTCCTCCTGTATACCTGTATGTAAGTAAGAGACTCAGCTGGTTCTACCTTGATCTCTGGTGTTTCCGTCCAATTGGTGATTGTGTACAGAGTGATGTTGATTTTTAACCATCACTGTATTTATCAGCTCCAGCTTCTGATACTGTAGCAGCAGCTGTACTCAATATTTATACAAAACTCCTTCCAAAAATTGACTTGTTGTCTCATCACTATTTTCCATCTTTAATTTGGTATCATATGACTTTTTATTTAAAAGATTGGATATTTCATCACTTGTATGTAATAAAGTCTTGGTAAGTTACAGTGAGTGAACAGAAATGTATTACATGGTCTAGTCGTTGGCTTTCTGGAGGAGGATGTTGTTATTAATAGTTTGTATGAGTTGTCTAAAACCTTACTATATTTAGGTTGTCTCCCTTAGACCTACTCTCAGAATAACGAGGTGTGCAAACCTACTATGTCTTTGAGAAAGACTCCACTCTACCAAGCTGTTGTCTACAAGAGATTTTCCGATGATGGACTGGCGTCAGGGACACTTTTCAAAGGGGAGGTAACTATGTTAGCCAATGATACCTCCCTGTGTGTAAGAGAGTTCTACAATGATGGACTGGTGTCAGGGACACTTTTCGAAGGGGAGGTAATTATGTTAGCCAAGGATACCTCCCTGTGTGTAAGAGAGTTCTATAATGATGGACTGGCGTCGGGGTCACTTTTCGAAGGGGAGGTAACTATGTTAGCCAAGAATACCTCCCTGTGTGTAAGAGAGTTCTCCAATAATGGACTGGTGTCAGGGACACTTTTCGAAGGGGAGGTAACTATGTTAGCCAAGAATACCTCCCTGGTAATTTCGACTTGTATATGGCTAGACATATGTTCAGTATTACACTGACAGTGATGATAAAGTGCAGACTATAACACATGTTACTTCACCATTACTGTGTGTAATATCAGTATGGTCTTCTGGAGTGAGGAGACCAACTTCGCACTTACCGAATTCAGGGACACAAACTTAGGTGGTTAACCAAGTGTGTCAGAGTGAGGCAAGACTAGGTTCAGACAGCACAAGTGTACACTATGTGTGCCAAAGTGAGGCTAGACTAAGCTCAGACAGCACTAGTGTACACCCAGTGTGTCAAAGTGAGGCTAGACTAGGCTCAGACAGCACTAGTGTACACCCAGTGACTAGACATTAAACTCTGCAACAGCACATACCTGTATTCAGTATGTCAAAGTTAAAAATAGACAAGGCTAAATTAGCACTAAGATTAAGGTCGCTCTATACCTATAAAACAGACTCTCTACAAAATACTTCCAAGTGTCCATTTTACCTTGGTAATTACTACAACAGACAGAAGTTAACTGGCAACATAGGACTACTTCATTTCTGACTCACTCACTTAATTCTGTAAACTTAATCACAACTAACTGTTCCAATATCTGGTATTTTGTTAAATTAATGAAGACAGTTGATGTATGTTAAATACAGTCAGTGAGGGGCCTAGACACAACTCAAAACAGAATCTTTGTTTATCTATATATTATTTATTTGTATATATACAATTATATCATCCAGAGATATATATTGTACATTGAAATAAAACTGTATAATTAAACTGTGTATGTGTTTTCTATACCGGTAAATATCCTGATCCAGTAGAGACTGAATATAGGACCCATGATCAAGTCTCTAGAATTGGTCTTTTGACAAGCTGAAATGGAAATTTGTCAGTAACATAGGAGATGAATTAGTAATGTGTGTAGCCTAGGTTAGCTCCTAGCCAACATTATAAAAATCTGAAAAGGAAAAATATTTTTTGAAATTGAATTACCATCATCTGATGTAAGTGTTCAATCTATTTCTAGTTCCTCATCATCTGATGGTAGTGTTCCACCTATTTCTACCTCCCCATCATCTGATGGTAGTGTTCCACCTATTTCTACCTCCCCATCATCTGATGGTAGTGTTCCACCTCTTTCTATCTCCCCATCATCTGATGGTAGTGTTCCACCAATTTCTACCTCCCCATCATCTGATGGTAGTGTTCCACCTATTTCTACCTCCCCATCATCTGATGGTAGTGTTCCACCTATTTCTCTCTCCCCATCCTCTGATGGTAGTGTTCCACCTACTTCTACCTTCTGATGGTAGTATCCCACCTACTTCTACCTCCCCATCATCTGATGGTAGTGTCCCACCTACTTCTACCTCCCCATCATCTGATGGTAGTGTTCCACCTATTTCTACCTCCCCATCATCTGATGGTAGTGTTCCACCTTTTTCTGGACCCCCATCATCTGATGGTAGTGTTCCACCTATTTCTACCTCCCCATCATCTGATGGTAGTGTTCCACCTATTTCTACCTCCCCATCATCTGATGGTAGTGTTCCACCTATTTCTACCTCCCCATCATCTGATGGTAGTGTTCCACCTATTTGAAGGGAAATCAAATGATGGATCTTGGCCCCCTAGGGTGGAATAGGCAGGATAAATAGATATACATCAATTTAAATGCTTTGTATGATAAGATTACTGTGCAGTGAAACACCCTGACATTGTAGATTTCTCGAAAATTAAAAAAAATATCTGAAAAAAGCCTATAACATTTTGTACACATAGACTTTTTCATATTGACTGAGTATTGTATTCCGTCTGTATTCATCAGTCCATTAAGTTCAAATATTTTAAATTTTGTTTGACATGTTGGGATCTTTTTTGCTCTGGGGTAATTTTATGATCTAAGTTTTGTTCTTTATATAATTGTTCTCTCTTTATTCATTTGACAATAACGCCTTGATAAACACAATAAGACGTCGCAATACAAATGATTATTCATCACAACTGGGGACCAACTTTTACCGTGTTTTCCCTTCGTTATACATTTGTATTAATCCATAATGTTATTCTTTTATTCTAATTTTACTTGAGCTTTAACAGATTCATAAACAGATTTCACAAAACCAATCATCAACGTCAAGCACAAATTACTGGTATCTCCAACGACATCAAATGCCTTTGAAAATCTGCAATTGTACATTATGTTTTAACAAAAGAAAAGATGTAAAATATTGTAAAATATGTAATAAATTATTGATTATTGACAGTACTCAATCTGAGAAAATTAATTGATTTGTTGATAGTCTCCTATCTACACTTCGTCAAGTTATCATCATGATATTGAACATGAAGGAGGACTTAAAATGACAAAGTGAATTTTTGTGAAAATCATTTCCATTTTTTTCAATTTCATACACGCTCGGGTCGTTATGTTTTTAGGACAATTTTCCCAGATAAAGTGTCGTGCAAGTTTCTTCAGTGGTCTGCACTTCAGTCAGACAATGCGTTACTGTCTGAAGTTTTGGCCTCTATGGTCTAGCAAAGATAGTAGGGATGCAGTTTGGATCAATTGATTATGAATTTATAGGTTCTTTAAAAGAGGGAGTTTGATACTTTCATTTGCATGGGTTTTGTTACTTGTACATATCGTATTATCAAGGGAATCATCAAACACGAGGGACACAAGAGTGTCCCTGTAACTATTTACCCCAGGAATCATCAACACGGGGGACACAAGAGTGTCCCTGTAGCTATTTACCCCAGGAATCATCAACACGGGGGACACAAGAGTGTCCCTGTAGCTATTTACCCAGGAATCATCAACACGGGGGACACAAGAGTGTCCCTGTAGCTATTTACCCAGGAATCATCAACACGGGGGACACAAGAGTGTCCCTGTAGCTATTTACCCAGGAATCATCAACACGGGGGACACAAGAGTGTCCCTGTAGCTATTTACCCCAGAAATCATCAACACGAGGGACACAAGAGTGTCCCTGTAGCTATTTACCCCAGAAATCATCAACACGAGGGACACAAGAGTGTCCCTGTAGCTATTTACCCAGAAATCATCAACACGGGGGACACAAGAGTGTCCCTATAGCTATTTACCCCAGAAATCATCAACACGGGGGACACAAGAGTGTCCCTATAGCTATTTACCCCAGAAATCATCAACACGAGGGACACAAGAGTGTCCCTGTAGCTATTTACCCCAGGAATCATCAACATGAGGGACACAAGAGTGTCTCTATAGCTATTTACCCAACACGGGGGACACAAGAGTGTCCCTGTAGCTATTTACCCCAGGAATCATCAACACGGGGGACACAAGAGTGTCCCTGTAGCTATTTACCCAGGAATCATCAACACGGGGGACACAAGAGTGTCCCTGTAGCTATTTACCCCAGAAATCATCAACACGGGGGACACAAGAGTGTCCCTGTAGCTATTTACCCCAGAAATCATCAACACGGGGACACAAGAGTGTCCCTGTAGCTATTTACCCCAGAAATCATCAACACGGGGGACACAAGAGTGTCCCTGTAGCTATTTACCCCAGAAATCATCAACACGGGGGACACAAGAGTGTCCCTGTAGCTATTTACCCCAGTTCTATACACATATAACAACTTCAGCTTTGATATTCAACATTTTTAATCATTATAATGACAATACAAAATGAATAAATTACTACTGTTTCATTCACATTTAAAAAATTGAAAACTTGTATGAACATCATGGACTAAATAAAATGAGTATTGCTTGAATAAGATAAAACAAATCCCTGTGTATACATAACGACAATCATTCAGTGACCTTCATTGCTTTACCCTCATCTGTAACCCCGTACGTAAAATGTATAGCCATATCAAAGTAAACAATTACAAATGAAGGAATAAGGGAAAAAAATTATAGAAAGCTGCGTTAAACACAGTCAAATTTTTAATTCTTTAAAACCACATTATCTAGTTGGTGTTTTAGACGACCTATAAAGCTGTTGATAAGACTTTTTCTGCCCTCCTACCTGTCTGATACATGAACTCACAGACTCAAGTCACCTGGTAGGACTGATTCATCCTGTAACTGTGGAATTATCTCTTGAAGTTACAAAAATGTCTCCCTCAGCTAAAAAGTTTTCTCTCTTACTCACAGCCTTTTAATACAAAGTATACAGATTAAATGTGAGAACAAAGCTGCCAATAACATGATTTCCTAAAGATGAGGGAATACTTAGAACTAAAATTTAACCATCTTGCTAGTGTCAAATCCTTTACTGGAAGTGACCATTAATTATATATGTCTTTTTATAATTTAACGATATAGAGGTATAAGAATGCCTGCGTCCATTATCTATCATATCATATCATATCATTTGGAACTCCTCTTCAGACCATTTGGAACTCCTCTTCAATAGAAACCTACTTGATGTACTAAAATAAGGTGCCTTTTTCCATCCTGTCTGCTGTGTAAGCCAAGATATTGTAAATAATATATCAAGCACAGATTCAATATGCCATATTATAAGTCAAGCCCCATTTTGATGTTTCAAACATGCGGTCCTATATGTTTTAGTGATGATGTGATTAATCACTCTCCTCAGGATCTAGATACTATGGCATGAGAATCTAATTCAAACAGTTCCAGTCTATCATTTTGGGCCTGGTGACTGGTTGCCAGGGGGATGTCTCTATCTAGATTTTTGGGTTGACTGGTTCCCAGGGGGATGTCTCTATCTAGATTTTTGAGTTGACTGGTTCCCAGGGGGATGTCCCTATCTAGATTTTTGGGTAGGGATGTCTCTATCTAAATATTGTGATATGCTCTTTGAAGAAACTTTGAATTAAATGTCCGATTTCAAGACAGCTGAGGTAAAAAGGAAATTAATCAAGAACACTCTGGGGTAATACACCTCACAAAATCATAAACATCTTTAGAGATCTCACCAAGGGGACATAACTAGGGCATTTAATGATGTTACTGTATAATACATGAAAATTGAATTAAAAAATTTAGTATACAACAAAATCATAAAAAAAGTTATATTTTTGGAAATGTTCTGATTACAAAGTTTGTTCTCTTTCATAAGAAGGTAATTATGAAGTAGACAAAATATAGATTTTCATCACAGGCCTAATGGATTAGAAGTCAGCTCCATTATCAGACTGAACAAAACTTGTCACAGACAAGATCATCAACTTATAGAATATAAATTCTAAAATTAGATATAAGAGATATGTAGAAATCTATTTTTTTTTCAAGTGATCTTTATAACAATTATGTGGAAATAATTATGTGAACATTAATCTTTTGATTTCTTCTGTACATAGATATCATCGACCAACGAAACACCGAAACAGAAACAAACATGTCACGTGACAAATTGTGCTACTGCCTAAATTGTAACGGGGTGTTCCCTGAATGCACACATGTCCAGGACAATAGGTAGAAACATCAAAGGGAGGGTAATTATAGTCTGTTTCATATAAGTACTGCATTTACCTGAGATATTTTACTTGTGGATCAACCTGTAATTTTTTATTTTCGACTGCAAAGTTACATGAAGGACATTAGTTACAAATATTAAAAGATTAACATTAATGATAACTTCAAAGAAGAAACTTATTTACAGCACTAAAAGTTCAATTTAACGCCTTTTTTTGGCTGAGTTTTTTTTATACATGTACAGGTGAGAACCACAGGTAAGAACACAGGTAAACCGAACTAAAATTAATGATATAGACTATAATCACTGTAAAAACCGAACTAACATTAATGATATAGACTATAATCACTGTAAAACCCGAACTAACATTAATGATATAGACTATAATCACTGTAAAAACCGGACTAACATTAATGATATAGACTATAATCACTGTAAAAACAAAGTTCCAGGTACATGTTTATAGTATTTATGTGTTCTGGGATACAGCCATTGTAACAATATTGTCTTGGATTTAAAAAAATCTATGAAACAACTTCTAAACTAAAAAAAATAGTAAGCAAAAACATCATAACAACAATGATTTTCTCGATAGAAAATAAATCTTGTTCTCTAACAGAAAATATTAATTCTATTGTCTAACAGAAAATTAATCCTGCTTTCTAACAGAAAATAATAAATAGAAAATAGATATAACCAAACCACCAGTATCTGGATTGGCTCCGAATCAAACAGAGCTTTGATAAGTAATAGTACCACAACAGTCGATATCTGGACTGGCTCTGAATCAAACAGAGCTTTGATAAACAATAGTAACACAACAGTCGATATCTGGACTGGCTCCGAATCAAACAGAGCTTTGATAAACAATAGTACCACAACAGTCGATATCTGGACTGGCTCTGAATCAAACAGAGCTTTGATAAACAATAGTACCACAACAGTCGATATCTGGATTGGCTCCGAATCAAACAGAGCTTTGATAAACAATAGTACCACAACAGTCGATATCTGGACTGGCTCTGAATCAAGCAGAGCTTTGATAAGTAATAGTACCACAACAGTCGATATCTGGATTGGCTCCGAATCAAACAGAGCTTTGATAACCAATAGTACCACAACAGTCGATATCTGGATTGGCTCTGAATCAAACAGAGCTTTGATAACCAATAGTACCACAACAGTCGATATCTGGATTGGCTGCGAATCAAACAGAGATTTGATAAGTAATAGTACCACAACAGTCGATATCTGGACTGGCTGTGAATCAAACAGAGCTTTGATAAGTAACAGTACCACAACAGTTGATATCTGGATTGGCTCCGAATCAAACAGAGCTTTGATAAACAATAGTACCACAACAGTCAGTATCTGGATTTTACTGGCCCTGAATTATACAAAGCTTCGACAGGAAATACTATCTGTGTCTGGATTACATATAAGGTTCATACAGTAACGTTACATGATAAATCGTGTACCATCCAGATAATATCATTATGATATAGATATCGTTTCAAGGGAAAAACTATAAACTCAACAGTAAGTACAAGAACAAAAAAGATTTATGTTAATTTTTCACAATTTGTTAACAAGAGTTGAATAACACTAAGACACATCATTTACACAAGAGTACACAGCTGCTAGGAGTTTAACTGATAAACTTGTCTAAAAAACAGTTCCACAGTCTGTGGAACAATGTCCCTGAGTAGAGTCACAAGCTTCATAGAAAAGTATGGGAAATGTAGTTCCCTAACACCCGTTGCCCCGCCCTTTATCACCGCGAGAGCAGCATCTGAAGGATCCTCTGGTGGAACGCTTTTCAGTAAAAAATCTTGACGAAAATTTTCCAACTCTCGTACAGCATTCTCTGTACCTGATGCGACACAAAGAGAGATAATGATTTACTAAAATATTCATCATGTTTGTATCAATACAATTCAATATAGCTATGCATATAAAAAAATTTTATCTTCGTTAAATAAGAAATCTATCCCCTGTTATCAACAGTTTAAACACAAACCATCGATATTACAAAAGCCTTGCACTTTTTATCACTAAACTTCAATCTAACATAAATGGTGGTTTTAACCGAGAGAAATCTTTATCCCAATATACTGATACTTGCACAAGAAATAAAATCTTTTACAACTGACATCAAAAACTTAAAATTAGATTTGTGTAGATTGCATTAGACATAAAAAGTCCAAGTTCCTGATGTTAAAAAACATCCTTTTTTATATGAGAAATCATATAGTCTAACTGAAGGAAGTAACAGTTAAGCCCCACAGAAACTCTCACACCAAATATCATACCCAGTATACTTATATAGGAGTTTACTGATACCTTTCAACCTTTCACCAAAAACTTAACATTGTGAAACAAGAGGTGAGCTTAAGATATATCATATTTCCTATTTATTTTCAATTTTCTGCGTTCTGTAAAGAAAATACATGTACTATGAGTACTTACCCACAAATCCGATAACACAAAGTGTTATAGAAATATCACAATTCTTCATCTTAAGCTCCTGGCGTAAACCGTTAAAGAACCCATTCAGAGCAAATTTGGAAGCCGAGTAAGCTACTGTGAATGGTTGGGCTATTTTTCCTGTAGAAAAGAAACAAAATTATCTCTTGTTACACACTCTTAACCACCAATAAATCTGGATTACCTCCCTTTTAGCATCTCTTGTTTAAACCTAATTTTCAGCATATATCTGGAGCCTTAAAAAGAAAGTTTTGAGAGAAGTCTGACAGTATAAAACCAATACAAAGAAATATGCTACTTTATATAGCAACAAAGTGATGCTGTACTGCGGTTTAATTACTTTATATAGCAACAAAGTGATGCTGTACTGCGGTTTAATTAATTAAGACATCAAGCTTTATATAAGGATGATAATATCATTACTTTATATAGCAACAAAGTGATGCTGTACTGCAGTTTACCTAGACACCAAGCTTTATATAAGGGTGGTAATATTATTACTTTATATAGCAACAAAGTGATGCTGTACTGCAGTTTACCTAGACACCAAGCTTTATATAAGGGTGGTAATATTACAAATAGTGTTCCTTAATTGTTATACAGATCTGAAAAGTGTAGTTTCAAATGAAACAATTCAAAATCACAAATTTTTACACCGGCTGGAAGACATTTCTTTGTAAAGAAGGAAAGTCCTATGGCACATCTCAGTTATATGGGAAGTCACCAGGTGACTATATCTATGGCGTAAGACCATAATTAATTCCAATGTTAATGTTTAACATTCTTACAAAATATATGATTTTGACATAATTTTAATTTCTCTTTGCTCTGAAAGTATGGAATTTCTTAATTTTGAGCTGATGTACAATTCAACCAATGTTGTACTTTTTTGAGAAAATAAGGTTCTAATTTGTCACAAAGGAGTAATACAGTCACTGCCTATCACGTTCAAGTAAGGATCACCAAATATAAAGGATGACAAATCGATATCAGGGGAGACAACTCACCTGATGTAAGGGCAGTCATAACACCTGATGTAAAGGCAGTCCTCACACCTGATGTCGTCACACCCAATGTAAGGACAGTCGTCACACCTGATGTAAGGGCAGTTGTCACACCTGATGTAAGGGCAGTCCTCACACCTGATGTCGTCACACCTGATGTAAGGACAGTCGTCACACCTGATGTAAAGACAGACGTCACACCTAATGTTAGGACAGTCAACTCTTATGATGTAAGGGCAGTCGTCACACCTGAAGTAAGGGCAGTCCTCACACCTGATGTAAGGACAGCCATCACACCTGATGTAAGGGCTGTCGTCACACCTGATGTAAGGGCAGTCGTCACACCTGATGTAAGGACAGTCTTCAGACCTGACGTAAGGCAGTTGTCACACCTGATGTAAGGGCAGTCGTCACACCTGATGTAAGGCAGTCGTCACACCTGATGTCATCACACCTGATGTAAGGACAGTCGTCACACCTGATGTAAAGGCAGTCATCACACCTGATGTAAGGACAGTCATCACACCTGATGTAAGGACAGACGTCACACCTGATGTAAGGCAGTCGTCACACCTGATGTAAAGGCAGTCATCACACCTGATGTAAGGACAGACGTCACACCTGATGTAAGGCAGTCCTCACACCTGATGTAAGGACAGCCATCACACCTGATGTAAGGGCTGTCGTCACACCTGATGTAAGGGCAGTCGTCACACCTGATGTAAGGACAGTCTTCACACCTGATGTAAGGCAGTTGTCACACCTGATGTAAGGCAGTCGTCACACCTGATGTCATCACACCTGATGTAAGGACAGTCGTCACACCTGATGTAAAGGCAGTCATCACACCTGATGTAAGGACAGTCATCACACCTGATGTAAGGCAGTTGTCACACCTGATGTAAAGGCAGTCATCACACCTGATGTAAGGACAGACGTAACACCTGATGTCAGCGCAGTCAACTCACCTGATATCAGGGCAGTTATCTCAAATTATGTAAGGGGAGTCAAGTCTACCTTTTGAAAGGGGATGCAAATCACCAATGTAAACTGAGACAAGTAATAGATTTTATAAGGAGAGACACTCACCTGATAAATGGACAGGCAACTTATCTGATACAAGGGAGACAACTCACCTGATGAATGGACAGACAACTCACTTGATACAAGGGAGACAACTCACATGATACAAGGAAGGACAACTCACCTGATAGTGATGACATGACGATGATATGACCCTTGCTCTGTGTAAGTAGAGGAAGAGCATGTGATGTCAGATGAACATATGCCTTGAAGTTAACATCAAACAGCTTGTCAAGATGTGTGAGGTTTTCTGTACTACCAACCCAGAGCCCTAGAGGGGCACTGATAATATGATTCAGTACTAGATAATCTAACCCTCCAAGACGAGTCCTCACCTCCTGTAAAGAAGAGTTCAAATATTAACAGGTATTCTAATTTCTAACCCTCCTAATCCACACCTCCTGTAAAGAGTTCAAATATTAACAGGTATTCTAATTTCTAACCCTCAAATTCACACCTCCTGTAGAAAAGAGTTCAAACTCAAACAGGCAATCTAACCCTTCCAATCAACACCTCCTGTAGAGGGGAGTCCACACTTAAACAGGTAATCTAACCATTCCAGTATACACCTCCTGTAGAGGGGAGTCCACACTTAAACAGGTAATCTAACCGTTCCAGTATACACCTCCTGTAGAGGGAAGTCCACACTTAAACAGGTAATCTAACCGTTCCAGTATACACCTCCTGTAGAGGGGAGTCCACACTTAAACAGGTAATCTAACCATTCCAGTATACACCTCCTGTAGAGGGGAGTCCACACTTAAACAGGTAATCTAACCGTTCCAGTATACACCTCCTGTAGAGGGGAGTCCACACTTAAACAGGTAATCTAACCATTCCAGTATACACCTCCTGTAGAGGGGAGTCCACACTTAAACAGGTAATCTAACTGTTCCAGTATACACCTCCTGTAGAGGGGAGTCCACACTTAAACAGGTAATCTAACCCTCCCAGCCACATCTCCTGTAGAGGGGAGTCCAAACTTAAACAGGCAATCTAACCCTCCCAGCCACATCTCCTGTAGAAGGGAGTCCAAACTTAAACGGGCAATCTAACCCTCCCATCCACATCTCCTGTAGAGGGGAGTCCAAACTTAAACAGGCAATCTAACCCCCCCACCCACATCTCCTGTAGAGGGGAGTCCAAACTTAAACAGGCAATCTAACCCCCAAGTCCACACCTCCTGTAGAGGGGAGTCCAAACTTAAACAGGCAATCTAACCCCCAAGTCCACATCTCCTGTAGAGGGGAGTCCAAACTTAAACAGGTAATCTTACCCTCCCAGCCATATCTCCTGTAGAGGGGAGTCCAAACTTAAACAGGCAATCTAACCCTCCCAGCCACATCTCCTGTAGAGGGGAGTCCAAACTTAAACAGGCAATCTAACCCTCCCAGCCACATCTCCTGTAGAGGGGAGTCCACACTTAAACAGGCAATCTAACCCTCCCAGCCACATCTCCTGTAGAGGGGAGTCCAAACTTAAACAGGTAATCTAACCCTCCCAGCCACATCTCCTGTAGAGGGGAGTCCAAACTTAAACAGGTAATCTAACCCTCCCAGCCACATCTCCTGTAGAGGGGAGTCCAAACTCAAACAGGCAATCTAACCCTCCCAGCCACATCTCCTGTAGAGGGGAGTCCAAACTTAAACAGGCAATCTAACCCTCCCAGCCACATCTCCTGTAGAGGGGAGTCCAAACTTAAACAGGCAATCTAACCCTCCCAGCCACATCTCCTGTAGAGGGGAGTGCAAAAATCTCTCTTTTCTATCAGAAAGATTGTTTACTTAATTTCATTTGTAGAAAATAGCTTGATCATAAGATCCAGTGATATCTAAGTTACAATATCAGTATCAGCCACACTATGTGTAGATAAAAACCCTCTAGTGTTCACTGCCAGTCTTCCCTGAGAGTGTAAAGAAAATATAGTGATTCATATTACATATTACCTAGATTAACTTGACAACTTTACACAAGTATATAGTCATGTGACCTAGATTAAACTAACAACTTTACACAAGTAAATAGTCATGTGACCTAGATTTTACTGACAACTTTACACAAGTAAATAGTCATGTGACCTAGATTAAACTGACAACTTTACACAAGTAAATAGTCACGTGACCTAGATTAAACTGACAACTTTACACAAGTAAATAGTCACGTGACCTAGATTAAACTGACAACTTTACACAAGTAAATAGTCACGTGACCTAGATTAAACTGACAACTTTAGACAAGTAAATAGTCATGTGACCTAGATTATACTGACAACTTTACACAAGTAAATAGTCATGTGACCTAGATTAAACTGACAACTTTAGACAAGTAAATAGTCATGTGACCTAGATTAAACTGACAACTTTACACAAGTAAATAGTCATGTGACCTAGATTAAACTGACAACTTTAGACAAGTAAATAGTCATGTGACCTAGATTTAACTGACAACTTTAGACAAGTAAATAGTCATGTGACCTAGATTTAACTGACAACTTTAGACAAGTAAATAGTCATGTGACCTAGATTATACTGACAACTTTAGACAAGTAAATAGTCATGTGACCTAGATTATACTGACAACTTTAGACAAGTAAATGGTCATGTGACCTAGATTATACTGACAACTTTACACAAGTAAATGGTCATGTGACCTAGATTATACTGACAACTTTACACAAGTAAATAGTCATGTGACCTAGATTATACTGACAACTTTACACAAGTAAATAGTCATGTGACCTAGATTATACTGACAACTTTACACAAGTAAATGGTCATGTGACCTAGATTATACTGACAACTTTAGACAAGTAGATAGTCATGTGACCTAGATTATACTGACAACTTTACACAAGTAAATAGTCATGTGACCTAGATTATACTGACAACTTTACACAAGTAAATAGTCATGTGACCTAGATTATACTGACAACTTTACACAAGTAAATAGTCATGTGACCTAGATTAAACTGACAACTTTACACAAGTAAATAGTCATCATTAAACCTATCAAGGTACCGTAATACATACACTGATAACTCGATCTGTGTCAGTCAGATTGGACATGTCAGCAGAGATGTAATCAAAGATGGCAGACTTGCCTCCAAGCTCACGACATCGTGCAATAACCTGGAGAACAAAGAGACATAAGCATATTTATTAAAGAGAATCTAGTGGCAATGTTACCCTGAAACAAGAGATCTCAGAGGAATCTTGGCGCCCATTGTTTTATCTCTGTATGCTCTTTGAAAGTTGGATCTTTTCCCTTCTTATCTCTTCTTTTCTCAGTTTTTGCTCTTAATGATAAGATATTTGAACATTCCATTGCAGAAATAACGATGATAATCTCTACCTGCAAAATCCAAAATGGCTGCCTGGAAGTCATTTTGTTTCTTCTGATCAGTTCCAAAATCAAATGAGCACAAGGAGAGCCCCAAGGGAACATACATATGAAATTTGAGAGATATCCATTCAGCACTTCTTAAGAAACATCAATAAAAATCTTTACTAGGCAAAATCCAAGATGGCTACCTGTCGGCCATTTAATTTTTCTCAGCAGTCCCAAACTCAAACAGGCACAACTAGGGACCTAAACAAACCTATAAATGAAATTTGAGAAAGATCTATGGAGTAGTTCTCAAGAAATAGTGATAAAAAAACTTTCAAAGTCAAAATCCAAGATGGCTGCTTGTGGGCCATTTTGTTTTTTCTGATCGGTACTAAAATTAAACAGGCACAATTACTGATCAAGGAAAACATACACATGAAATATGAGGGACACCAGGTTAGTGGTGACTGGATAGAGGGACACCAGGTTAGTGGTTACTGGATAGAGGGACACCAGGTTAGTGGTGACTGGAGAGAGGGACATCCGGTTAGTGGTGACTGGAGAGTGGGACACCAGGCTAGTGGTAACTGGATAGAGGGACACCAGGTTAGTGGTGACTGGATAGAGGGACATCAGGTTAGTAGTGACTGGATAGAGGTACACCAGGTTAGTAGTGACTGGATAGAGGGACACCAGGTTAGTGGTGACTGGATAGAGGGACACCAGGTTAGTAGTGACTGGATAGAGGGACATCAGGTTAGTAGTGACTGGATAGAGGTACACCAGGTTAGTAGTGACTGGATAGAGGGACATCAGGTTAGTAGTGACTGGATAGAGGGACACCAGGTTAGTAGTGACTGGATAGAGGTACACCAGGTTAGTGGTGACTGGATAGAGGGACACCAGGTTAGTAGTGACTGGATAGAGGGACACCAGGTTAGTAGTGACTGGATAGAGGGACATCAGGTTAGTGGTGACTGGATAGAGGGACACCAGGTTAGTGGTGACTGGATAGAGGGACACCAGGTTAGTGGTGACTGGATAGAGGGACACCAGGTTAGTAGTGACTGGATAGAGGGACACCAGGTTAGTAGTGACTGATAGAGGGACATCAGGTTAGGTAGGTTAGTAGTGACTGGATAGAGGTACACCAGGTTAGCAGTGACTGGATAGAGGGACATCAGGTGAGTAGTGACTGGATAGAGGGACACCAGGTTAGTAGTGACTAGATAGAGGGACATCAGGTTAGTAGTGACTGGATAGAGGTACACCAGGTTAGCAGTGACTGGATAGAGGTACACCAGGTTAGCAGTGACTGGATAGAGGGACACCAGGTTAGTAGTGACTGGATAGAGGGACATCAGGTTAGTAGTGACTGGATAGAGGGACACCAGGTGAGTAGTGACTGGATAGAGGGACACCAGGTTAGCAGTGACTGGATAGAGGGACATCAGGTTAGTAGTGACTGGATAGAGGGACACCAGGTTAGTAGTGACTGGATAGAGGGACACCAGGTTAGTAGTGACTGGATAGAGGGACATCAGGTTAGTGGTGACTGGAGAGAGGGACATCTGGTTAGTGGTGACTGTAGAGAGGGACACCTGGTTAGTGGTGACTGGAGAGTGGGACACCAGGTTAGTAGTGACTGGATAGAGGGACACCAGGTTAGTGGTGACTGGATAGAGGGACACCAGGTTAGTGTTGACTGAAGAGTGGGACACTTGGTTAGTGGTGACTGGAGAGTGGGACACCAGGTTAGTAGTGACTGGATAAATATAGATTAACTTGAATAGCGGTAGATATAAACACACCTCCTGTAGACGTTGCTCCCTCCGAGCTGTAACTATAACACTGGCTCCCATCCGTGCAAAATGATATGCCATCTGCTCACCGATACCTGTGGAAGCTCCTGTGATAAGCACTCGTTTCCCTTGTACAACATCTGTAAAATAAGGACAGTTAAGGGCTTATGCTTATAACATTGATAAATCAAGAGCTTTTCGCCCTCAGAAACAGTCTGTATATACTTTGTGATCACACATAGGAAATGTTGAAAATTGGATTTTCAGAAAAAAAAGTTTTTTTTCCCTCGGTTTCTTAATGTTTCAAAATCTACAGATCCAGATGTTGACCAGAAACAACAATAAGAAAGCTAGCTGTGTTTTACAAGAACCCCACTTGACCTGCATCACTCGCCTTGTATTGAATGTTCATTACAAATAGAATGGTTGTTTATCACAAATTCATCAATGCCTTTAGCATTTAAATCCAATCAATTCTAATTCATTTCCACGACTTATTATACTCGACTCTAATCAATGACATTTACGACCTGGATTTTAGGTAAATGTCATTTCTTATTTTCTCAAAATTTATTTGGCTTTTACCTAGAAATACCTTACCATCAAATATCCTGCTTTCCGGACTTTTTAATTAAGAGAAGTCTTCTACAGGTTTTGACAATTTTGCCCATGTGACCTTGAATATAGTTCAAGGTCAAGATCCCTTTATAATTTCCAGTGGTAAAGAGAGGTCACTCCTGATAAAGGCATACCTGGATTAAAGTCATCTATTAGCCAGTATCCAACTATAACACCAAGAAGAATTGCTAGGACCTTCTTCCACATGGCAGCCAACCAGCGTGGAGCCTGAAACAGAGACCACACATTTTATCATGGTCAGCGTGGAGCCTGAAACAGAGACCACATGTTGTATCATAGTCAGCACGGAGCCTGAAACAGAGACCTGACATTTTATCATAGTCAGCGTGGAGCCTGAAACAGAGACCACACATTTTATCATAGTCAGCGTGGAGCCTGAAACAGAGACCACACATTTTATCATAGTCAGCATGGAGCCTGAAACAGAGACCAGACATTTTATCATAGTCAGCGTGGAGCCTGAAACAGAGACCTGACATTTTATCATACAGCCAGCGTGGAGCCTGAAACAGAGACCACACATTTTATCATAATTTCCAGTGTGAGAGCCTGAAACAGAGACCTGGATTTTATCATTAGCCAGCACCAAGCCTAACACCAAGAGAATTGCTACATTTTATCATACAGCCAGCGTGGAGCCTGAAACAGAGACCACACATTTTATCATACATCCAGAGTGGAGCCTGAAACAGAGACCTGACATTTTATCATAGTCAGCACGGAGCCTGAAACAGAGACCTGACATTTTATCATAGTCAGCGTGGAGCCTGAAACAGAGACCACACATTTTATCATAGTCAGCGTGGAGCCTGAAACAGAGACCACACATTTTATCATAGTCAGCATGGAGCCTGAAACAGAGACCAGACATTTTATCATAGTCAGCGTGGAGCCTGAAACAGAGACCTGACATTTTATCATAGTCAGCATGGAGCCTGAAACAGAGACCAGACATTTTATCATACAGCCAGCGTGGAGCCTGACATTTTATCATACAGCCAGCGTGGAGCCTGAAACAGAGACCACACATTTCATCATAGTCAGCACGGAGCCTGAAACAGAGACCAGACATTTTATCATAGTCAGCGTGGAGCCTGAAAAGAGACCAGACTTTTATCATACAGCCAGCTTGGAGCCTGAAACAGAGACCTGACATTTTATCATAGTCAGTGTGAAGCCTGAAATACAGACCACACATTTTATCTTACAGCCAGAGTGGAGCCTGAAACAGAGACCAGACATTTTATCATAGTCAGTGTGAAGCCTGAAATACAGACCACACATTTTATCTTACAGCCAGAGTGGAGCCAGAAATACAGACCACAAATTTTATCTCACAGCCAGAATGAAGCATGTTTGATTTCGTAAACTGTGACAACAACGTTCTGCGTCCCTAGGTTAGATACCTGTGGTTTTAAAGCATTTATATCACTAATGTTTATCACATCTTTGCAGTTGTATGAACACAGGAAAGTACTTGATGAACAGTATAACAGTTTCAAGTGGATGAGTAGCTGTGTATAACAATATATACTCGAACATGGTCTGTACGACCTCACATTTCAGCACAAGTCAGGAACAGAAGTCAGTGACACACATCAGTGACACAAATCAGTGACACATGTCAGTAACACACATCAGTGACACATGTCAGGGACACATGTCAGTGACACAGGTCAGTAACACACATCAATGAAACAGGTCAGTAACACATGTCAGTAACACACATCAGTGACACATGTCAGTAACACATGTCAGTGACACATGTCAGTAACAAACATCAGTAACACACATCAGTAACACACAACAGTTACACACATCAGTAACACACATCAGTAACACACATCAGTCACACATATCAGTCACACACATCAGTTACATACATCACTCACACACATCAGTCACACACATCAGTTACACACATCAGTCACACACATCAGTTACACACATCAGTCACACACATCAGTCACACACATCAGTCACACACATCATTCACACTCATCAGTCACACTCATCACTCACACACGTCAGTCACATACATCAGTCAGTCACACACATCAGTCACACACATCACTCACACACATCAGTCACACACATCACACACACACATCACACACACACATCAGTCACACACATCACTCACACACATCAGTCACACACATCTATTATCTTGACTATTGAAGAATTCATCTCTTAATTTGATGCCGTTTATCTTAACAGTAACATCAGTGAAAAATTTAGGATAATCAGTAATTGTCCTTGACTTAAACATATCATGTTTTCATGTTTTAATGTTCAAAAACACTATACAAGATTGCCATGGGACACTGTTGGACAACACAAAACTGACATGGGACACTGTTGGACAACATAAGACTGACATGGGACACTGTTGGACAACACAAAACTGACATGGGACACTGTTGGACAACACAAAACTGACATGGGACACTGTTGGACAACATAAGACTGACATGGGACACTGTTGGACAACATAAGACTGACATGGGACACTGTTGGACAACACAAAACTGACATGGGACACTGTTGGACAACATAAGACTGACATGGGACACTGATGGACAACACAAAACTGACATGGGACACTGTTGGACAACATAAGACTGACATGGGACACTGTTGGACAACACAAAACTGACATGGGACACTGTTGGACAACACAAAACTGACATGGGACACTGTTGGACAACATAAGACTGACATGGGACACTGTTGGACAACACAAAACTGACATGGGACACTATTGGACAACATAAGACTGACATGGGACACTGTTGGACAACACAAGACTGACATGGGACACTGTTGGACTATACAAGACTGACATGGGACACTGTTGGACTATACAAGACTGACATGGGACACTGTTGGACAACACAAGACTGACTTGGGACACTGTTGGACAACACAAGACTGACATGGGACACTGTTGGACAACACAAGACGGACTTGGGACACTGTTGGACAACACAAGACTGACTTGGGACACTGCTGGACTGCAAGATGGACACTGAAAATTCCATAATGATGGTTCTGTTTTGAGGAATGTTCTCATCGAGTCTCTTGTTTGTGTATAATAATTGGTTTTATAATTCAGGAACATTCTACAGATAGTCGTCAATTAATGAGAAACTTCAGAAATTTTCCATCGTTTTTTGTAACCACATGAAAAAGTAAGTTATTTATATTAACAGAAATATTCTCTTTACAGGACAATTTCATCAAGATTGGTATCAAATCAAATTTCATCATATGTTGCTATCAATTATCTCTTAATGCACATTTGGAGATGATAAATTACTCCTTGTACATTTTTTATGTAGATGTGGAAATTTGTCTGTGAATTTTATTATGAATGTCAGCAGGTTATCAAGATTTAACTATAATTTGCCCCATCATTGCCGTTAACTGTTAGTTGCCTGAGGTCCCAAACCGGAAAATTAGGCTGAATTACCATAATGTACCAGATAAAAAGTACAGAGCTCGCACAAAATGTGTACTTGTTCAAATAGAGTAAATGTCGATATTAGGCAGAAACTACATGAACTCTTGTTCAATGGGAAAGTGTGGTCTTGGTAGGGTGAATCATGCATGACCAGTTCATCTCTGTTCAGTAAAACCACAAGTCAGCTTATAATAGACTTAAACCTATAATGATTATTTTGTAATAGGCACTTGTAGGCGATTGTAATAGGATGTATCAGAGAGGGGCTTGTGACAGCAGCTTTTGATAGAGTGTTTAAAATAGGGGCTTGTAAAAGGATGTATCGGAGACAGGCTTGTGACAGCAGCTTTTGATAGAGTGTTTAAAATAGGGGCTTGTAAAAGGATGTATCGGAGACAGGCTTGTGACAGCAGCTTTTGATAGAGTGTTTAAAATAGGGGCTTGTAAAAGGATGTATCAGAGAGAGGCTTGTGACAGCAGCTTTTGATAGAGTGTTTAAAATAGGGGCTTGTAAAAGGATGTATCGGAGACAGGCTTGTGACAGCAGCTTTTGATAGAGTGTTTAAAATAGGGGCTTGTAAAAGGATGTATCGGAGAGAGGCTTGTGACAGCAGCTTTTGATAGAGTGTTTAAAATAGGGGCTTGTAAAAGGATGTATCGGAGAGGGGCTTGTGTCAGCAGCTTTTGATAGCGTGTTTAAAATAGGGGCTTGTAAAAGGATGTATCAGAGAGAGGCTTGTGACAGCAGCTTTTGATAGAGTGTTTAAAATAGGGGCTTGTAAAAGGATTTTTAGACAGGGCTTGTGTGACAGGGGCATGTGATAGGGGCTTTGGAGCTTGTGAATGGTTGGGGGAGGAGGTATGTGTTGAGAATCTTCCATGAGATCTATTCTGTGGACTGGGACATAACAACCAGAGTATTCAAGTCAGCACATCATTCTTCAGCTGTCTTTCAGTTTGTTTTTATGTCTCCTCAGTTTCTTTTCTTGTCTCTTGTTTTGATGTCTCCTCAGTTCCTATTCTTGTCCCTTGTTTTGATGTCTCCTCAGTTCCTAGTCTTGTCCCTTGTTTTGATGTCTCATCAGTTCCTATTCTTGTCCCTTGTTTTGATGTCTCCTCAGTTCCTAGTCTTGTCCCTTGTTTTGATGTCTCATCAGTTCCCATTCTTGTCCCTTGTTTTGATGTCTCCTCAGTTCCTAGTCTTGTCCCTTGTTTTGATGTCTCCTCAGTTCCTATTCTTGTCCCTTGTTTTGATGTCTCCTCAGTTCCTATTCTTGTCCCTTGTTTTGATGTCTCCTCAGTTCCTACTCTTGTCCCTTGTTTTGATGTCTCCTCAGTTCCTACTCTTGTCCCTTGTTTTGATGTCTCCTCAGTTCCAATTCTTGTCCCTTGTTTTGCTGTCTCATCAGTTCCTATTCTTGTCCCTTGTTTTGCTGTCTCATCAGTCCCTATTCTTGTCCCTTGTTTTGCTGTCTCCTCAGTTCCTAGTCTTGTCCCTTGTTTTGATGTCTCATCAGTTCCTAGTCTTGTCCTTTGTTTTGATGTCTCCTCAGTTCCTATTCTTGTCCCTTGTTTTGATGTCTCATCAGTTCCTATTCTTGTCCCTTGTTTTGATGTCTCCTCAGTTCCTAGTCTTGTCCCTTGTTTTGATGTCTCCTCAGTTCCTAGTCTTGTCCCTTGTTTTGATGTCTCATCAGTTCCCATTCTTGTCCCTTGTTTTGCTGTCTCCTCAGTTCCTAGTCTTGTCCCTTGTTTTGATGTCTCATCAGTTCCTAGTCTTGTCCTTTGTTTTGATGTCTCATCAGTTCCTAGTCTTGTCCTTTGTTTTGATGTCTCCTCAGTTCCTATTCTAGTCCCTTGTTTTGATGTCTCATCAGTTCCTACTCTTGTCCCTTGTTTTGATGTCTCCTCAGTTCCTAGTCTTGTCCCTTGTTTTGATGTCTCCTCAGTTTCTAGTCTTGTCCCTTGTTTTGATGTCTCCTCAGTTCCTAGTCTTGTCCCTTGTTTTGATGTCTCATCAGTTCCCATTCTTGTCCCTTGTTTTGATGTCTCCTCAGTTCCTACTCTTGTCCCTTGTTTTGATGTCTCCTCAGTTCCTAGTCTTGTCCCTTGTTTTGTTGTCTCATCAGTTCCTAGTCTTGTCCCTTGTTTTGATGTCTCCTCAGTTCCTAGTCTTGTCCCTTGTTTTGATGTCTCCTCAGTTCCTTGTCTTGTCCCTTGTTTTGATGTCTCCTCAGTTCCTAGTCTTGTCCTTTGTTTTGATGTCTCCTCAGTTCCCATTCTTGTCCCTTGTTTTGATGTCTCCTCAGTTCCTTGTCTTGTTCCCTTTGTTTTGTTTTGATGTCTCCTCAGTTCCTAGTCTTGTCCTTGTTTTGATGTCTTCAGTTCCCTTTGTCCCTTGTTTTGATGTCTCCTGATGTCTCCCTCAGTTCCTAGTCTTGTCCCTTGTTTTGATGTCTCCTCAGTTCCTAGTCTTGTCCCTTGTTTTGATGTCTCCTCAGTTCCTAGTCTTGTCCTTTGTTTTGATGTCTCCTCAGTTCCTAGTCTTGTCCCTTGTTTTGATGTCTCCTCAGTTCCTAGTCTTGTCCCTTGTTTTGCTGTCTCCTCAGTTCCTAGTCTTGTCCCTTGTTTTGATGTCTCCTCAGTTCCTAGTCTTGTCCCTTGTTTTGATGTCTCCTCAGTTCCTAGTCTTGTCCCTTGTTTTGTTGTCTCCTCAGTTCCTATTCTTGTCCCTTGTTTTGATGTCTCCTCAGTCCTGATTCTTTATATTTGTAGATGTACTTTATATCGGATTTGGTTGCAGTATTGTAAGGACTATTTCAAGTTTACATATTTTGATGTTAAGAGATACACTATTCTTCAGTAAGATGGTTGGGATGTGTTCATCAAGGCATATGAATGTGATTTATATCTCTGGAGACTGTGACTTTGTCCTCATTAGTGAGTGCAGTGACAGGAAGAGGGTCTTGTTAATACCCAGGATCTCACCAGCAGTAATCTGTTCACACTTGTTAATCACCTCTTGACAAGAAGAATTCCAGTCACAAAATATTTCCTTTGTGGAATTCACCTCTATAGATAATAAGATTTGTTGGTATCTCCTTGTTTTCAATTTACCTAAAGATGTAATTTATAACTAGAATGGGTCTGGTGTGGTGTTATCCTATACAGTGTGAGGGTCACAGGGAGTTATTTATAGGCCTCATTGTCAACGATACACTACTACCAATACACAGATTGGTCACGAAAGAATCTTTCAAATAAAAGCTGGTGCTCTTTGTCATTGTCATATTTTGATTCAGAAAGAATAACTTAATGTTTTAAGTTCATCCCTACATTCCTAAGATAGACCTGTATGGTAACATTATCAGTTAGTAACATATTAGTAACATCTCATCATATTAATAACAACATTTTTATCAAGTCAGTAACATATTAGTAACATTTTTTATCATCAGTCAGTAACGTATTAGTAACATTTTTTATCATCAGTCAGTAACGTATTAGTAACATTTTTTATCATCAGTCAGTAACATATTAGTAACATTTTTTATCATCAGTCAGTAACATATTAGTAACGTTTTTTATCATCAGTCAGTAACATATTAGTAACGTTTTTTATCATCATTCAGTAACATATTAGTAACATTTTCTTTCATCAGTAACATATTAGTAACATTTTTATATCAGTCAGTAACATATTAGTAACAACTAATTATCCTATTATTAGTAACATTTGTGTTAAGTCAGTAACATATTAGTAACATTTTTTATCATCAGTCAGTAACATATTAGTAACATTAGTTATCATCAGTCAGTAACGTATTAGTAACATTTGTCATCATCAGTCAGTAACATATTAGTAACATTTGTTATCATCAGTCAGTAACATATTAGTAACATTAGTTATCATCAGTCAGTAACGTATCAGTAACATTAGTTATCATCAGTCAGTAACATATTAGTAACATTTGTTATCATCAGTCAGTAACGTATCAGTAACATTAGTTATCATCAGTCAGTAACATATTAGTAACATTTGTTATCATCAGTCAGTGACATATTAGTAATATTTGTTATCATCAGTCAGTAACACCTTGTTCTCCTGTTAATTGATATAACCTTGTTTATAATAAACATTATGTGACAAATTAATTTCAATATGTACAAAATCATCATATTTATAACTTTTATCATTTTCTCACATGCAATCCATTTAATTCTAAAAACTTGATAAAAATACATACCTAAACAGACCTAAATACTATATACAGCAGATGTGTTACCTATACTATTCACAGTTTTGAATATGACAAACATTTGTCTCTCCAGATATAGATTCATATACACATAACATATAACGAAGTATGACAACACAACTTCACAATAAACACGGCACCATAAAACACCTCACAGTCCAGTAATCACAGTTGGTGAAATATTTGATCTCAGTACCATGAACTTATCACCATCAAAGGAAGCGCTCACTTCTAAAGCTTTATTACAGCAAGAAGCTAATGGCTTATAAGTTACACAAAACTCACGGTAAAGGACATCATTATAGATCTCGGTAAACAATCGTCAATACAGAAATATTCTACAACTTAAACATCCATCCCACAATTTTCACATCATGTGAACCAACCTCTTCTTTCTGTTACTAATACAGACTGATGTGTTAGAACGAAAAATCACCAAACTTAATAAAACACTTAATTTCTGATTTTAGTCATCGCAACTGAAACCTTAGTATCTCTGCACTTTTTTGTCTTTTTTTAGAAAACGCCTACTTTTTCACATATCTGATCCATGAGACCTTGAAAGCACAGGTAGGTCAAGGTCCTATATTTGAATGAATAGGACAACCCAGTCATCACCAAGCAACTGGTCTCTAAGTCCATTTAAACCAATCAGAGACACTATAAGAAGCAGCACATCATGAGAGATTCTGGGTGGCAGTAAGTTACAAAGGCATTTGGCATCATCTGTAAATAGAGTTATCTCCCCATGCCAGGTTAATGGGTAGAGATATGTTAGTAAGGCACCAATGAAACACACTGATATAAATAAGCACCAGTTATAAAATCGATATGTCTCAACGTGTGGTGATTAGTTCCTCAATGTCTAGCAGTGAAATCCGAATCTGCACAATTAAAACTGTGCAACTCCCCTTGTCAGTTAAAGGTTAATAGGTTTATTGACGGTTAGTAAGCTGAATATTAAACATTAAGTTATAAAGCATCTAAACAATCTTCATATACCTGTAGCACCTGCAGTACACTTTACACCTTCGATGCCAGGCAGTTCATTACATAAAATCTGAGTTATCTCCCTTGGTAAATTTCGGGTTAATGAGAGCAGGTGTTAGTACAGAGACAAATCAGTACTCACCTGGAGTCGAGGGACTTTAGCAGGGTTTGGACTTTCAAACGAGGGTGATAGCACACAGGAATTTTTTAATGTCTCTGTCATGTTTGACTATCTGAAGAAACAAAAGGTAGATTGGTCCTGTAGCTATGAATTGCACATCTCCACATGATGTTAATCTCACAGTTACCAAATATAGTAAGTCTCTTTTTGGAGTTTACATCACAGTACCTATAAATAGCATGCCTCACCTTGGAGTTTATATCAGAGTAGCTATAGATAACATGTCTCACTTTGGAGTTTACATCACAGCAGCTATAAATAGCACATCTCATTTTGGATTTTATATCACAGTAGCTATAGATAACATGTCTCATTTTGGAGTTTACATCACAGTACCTATAAATATCATCAGAGTAGCTATAAATAGCATGCTTCATTTTGGAGTTTATATCACAGCAGCTATAAATAGCATGTCTCATTTTGGAGTTTATATCACAGTAGCTATAAATAGCATGCCTCATTTTGGAGTTTATATCACAGCAGCTATAGATAGCATGCCTCAATTTGGAGTTTATATCACAGTCTTATATCATATCTCTGGACTATTTTTAAAGGTTTTAGCAAGTATGACACCCTAGCTGCTCTCCCCATCATTCTGTACTTGAGTGTAGGTCAATCATTTCTTTGCACAAACGTATTTGTGTGCCATCCTATGAAGCTGCAAGCCAAATATCTTGACTATTTGCCTTTTGGTTCTTCAGAAGAAGTTTAAAGAAAAGCTGCCAGATGCTGAATGACAATAAAGCTCAGCTGCCCTTCAGAAAGGTGAACTAAAAACAAAATGATCTGACAAAACAGTGACAATTACTGAAAGTATTATCATGATACAGGTTTTACGCTCAGACAGGCAGACTTCAATATAACAGTTCTACTAGAATGTGTAGAGTGGTCAGATAATTTATGTTTCAGCCTATGAGCTATATAAAATTACACTTTCATCAGTGTATTTCATTTCCAAAACAAGACTTTTGCCATCTTTTTGTGTCCTATTAGGGTTGTGATCAAATCACAAATCTGTGGAGAGATTAATATGCATGATAAAACCTGTACTAAACAGCATCTTAGAAAGTTGTTAACTATCAAAATCTTGCTTCTTACTTATTCAGAATGAAAGGAAATTTTTTTAAATTTCAGATTTAAATACATTTATCTCAAATAATTAAATCACACTTTGGAACTTTATTTTATTGGTGCCTGGTGGTATATGTGTGCACACATGTATGGCATCTCTGACAATGTTACAAAGCACCACTGCCTTGCACTGGAAGTGCATTCGAATGGCAGGATTTGGAATTTGGTTGATAGAAGTACAGGGATTCGATTGTGTTACATGCGTGGGGTGATGAAGGGAAGTGAAACTTGAACAAATAGTATATGAACTGCTTTGCTGTTTGTTTTGTCTACATGAAGTTCACTTTCCTTCATAATGGGCAAAATAAACTATTAATCCTTAATTATGTTATCTCTCTTCATTTTCTATAAAAACAATGTCATGCAAATGTAAACATAATACAGAAGATGTTTGTTGCCGGTATGAATCCCGAAAGGACATTAGGAAACTCTGACCATCCAGCTATATGTAGGCATGGCATGAACAGTCGCAAACCAGGGACACTAGAAATATACCGACAGAAGTTACACCATTAAGTTATCACAAACCATTGACACTAGAAATAAACTGGCAGAAATTACACCATTAAGTTGTCAAAAACCATGGACACTAGAAAAATACTGACAGAAGTTACACCATTAAGTTGTCAAAAACCATTGACAGTAGAAATATACTGACAGAAGTTACCACCATTAAGTTGTCAAAAACCATGGACACTAGAAATATACCAACAGAAGTTACCACCATTAAGCTGTCAAAAACCATTGACACTAGAAAAATACTGGCAGAAGTTACACCATTAATTTGTCACCAACCATTGACACTAGAAAAATACAGACAGAAGTTACACCATTAAGATGTCAAAAACCATGGACACTAGAAATATACCGACAGAAGTTACACCATTAAGTTGTCAAAAACCATTGACACTAGAAAAATACTGGCAGAAGTTACCACCATTAAGTTGTCAAAAACCATTGACACTAGAAAAATACCGGCAGAAGTTACACCATTAAGTTGTCAAAAACCATGGACACTAGATATACCGACAGAAGTTACACCATTAAGTTGTCAAAAACCATGGACACTAGAAATATACCGACAGAAGTTACACCATTAAGTTGTCAAAAACCATGGACACTAGATATACCGACTGAAGTTACACCATTTAAGTTGTCAAAAACCATTGACACTAGTAAAATACCAGCAGAAGTTACATCATCAATTTGTCACCAACCATTGACACCAGAAAAATACCAACAGAAGTTACCACCATTAAGTTATCACAAACCATGGACACTAGAAAAATACCGGCAGAAGTTACACCATTAAGTTGTCAAAAACCATTGACACTAGAAAAATACTGGCAGAAGTTACCACCATTAAGTTATCACAAACCATTGACACTAGAAAAATACTGGCAGAAGTTACCACCATTTTCACTTACCAGAGTTTACCACCATTTCAAAGATTTGGAATTATAAGCTGTTCAGTGTAAATTTAGCTGTTCTTCATATTATCAAATCCTTACCATTGATAAGGAGAAATTCATACAAAAGAAATCGTGCAAAGCCTCAACTTAGCTTTTTTTTGTCATTAAAAAAAACAACTTTAGTGCAAACAATATTTACTCCATATCTCAAATTCTCCTTTACGGCCAAAATTTTAAAAATATAGATTTCTCTTAACTATGTATAGCTTTACTCTGTTTACAAACCCTCTATACTATTTCTACATAAAGTTTTTTGAAAACAAGAAAAATGAATACGGTATTGTAGAAAATCAATTGAAAACTTGTAAGATAACACATCAAGATTTTATCTATAGTAATCTTAGCTCGCAGCAGGTATATTGTCAACACCTGTAAAACCCTGTGTTCTGGGTGTAGTTATTACAACAATGATAAATGTTATTCTAAACCCTCTAATGATGAAAGTGAGATATTCTGTCTTGGACTGGAAGCATTAGCTGTGATAAACAACAAACAGAAATGACAGTCATAGCATGTCTCTATATCACAAACCTGCAGTATATCATTCCAGTACACAACCTATACTGTTTTTTCACTGATATATTAACCCTCCTATCTATATTTCCATTCACAGAGTTTGTAATGTGATTCAACGAAATGGAAAATACTTCAAGCTTACCTCACTTCTCTTCCCTTCCAATTCTCATATGACAAGAAATTTGGTATGGAAGACGGAAAAATATCCCAGATTTTTCAGATTTGTGAACAGTTTGTCAAGTTACTAATTAACGATTTGCACAAACAGTATAATAGTCTTACTTTCATGTTACATCACACATTCTTTTCTCTTGTTAAAACCACCTGACACAGAACCTTTTCTCCCAACGACTATAAACTTTTACCTCAATCACATGTCAGACATGAGCACTTCTAGGCAAAAGAGAGCAATGATGTGTATTTGTAAAATTGTTATATATGAACAACATAGACATAATCACATTTTAACAGAAAATCTTCAGCATGAAAACTGTTTAATAAGATTACCACCTAAACATTAACAGTAAGCTAATACTTCAGACTAAACACTGACAATACCACTGGCACAGTATCCACAAACATTTCATTCTGTCACCCAACTCAGAATTTCTCAAACTGTCACCCAACTCAGAACTTCTCAAACTGTCACCCAACTCAGAACTTCTCAAACTGTCACACAACTTAGAACTTCTCAAACTGTCACCTAACTCAGAACTTCTCAAACTGTCACCCACTCAGAGCTTCTCAAACTGTCACCTAACTCAGAACTTCTCAAACTGTCACCCAACTCAGAGCTTCTCAAACTGTCACCCAACCCAGAACTTCTCAAACTGTCACACAAATTAGAACTTCTCAAACTGTCACCCAACTCAGAACTTCTCAAACTGTCACACAACCCAGAACTTCTCAAACTGTCACCTAACTCGGAGCTTCTCAAACTGTCACTCAACTCAGAACTTCTCAAACTGTTACCCAACTCAGAACTTCTCAAACTGTCACACAACCCAGAACTTCTCAAACTGTCACCTAACTCGGAGCTTCTCAAACTGTCACTCAACTCAGAACTTCTCAAACTGTTACCCAACTCAGAACTTCTCAAACTGTCACACAACCCAGAACTTCTCAAACTGTCACCTAACTCGGAGCTTCTCAAACTGTCACTCAACTCAGAACTTCTCAAACTGTTACCCAACTCAGAACTTCTCAAACTGTCACACAACCCAGAACTTCTCAAACTGTCACCTAACTCTGATCTCTCAAACTGTCACTCAACTCAGAACTTCTCAAACTGTTACCCAACTCAGAACTTCTCAAACTGTCACACAACCCAGAACTTCTCAAACTGTCACACAACTTAGAACTTCTCAAACTGTCACCCAACTCAGAACTTCTCAAACTGTCACCCAACTCAGAACTTCTCAAACTGTCACACAACCCAGAACTTCTCAAACTGTCACCTAACTCGGAGCTTCTCAAACTGTCACTCAACTCAGAACTTCTCAAACTGTTACCCAACTCAGAACTTCTCAAACTGTCACACAACCCAGAACTTCTCAAACTGTCATACAACTTAGAACTTCTCAAACTGTCACCCAACTCAGAACTTCTCAAACTGTCACCCAACTCAGAACTTCTCAAACTGTCACCTAACTCGGAGCTTCTCAAACTGTCACACAACTCAGAGCTTCTCTAACTGTCACCCAACTCAGAACTTCTCAAACTGTCACACAACTTAGAACTTCTCAAACTGTCACCTAACTCAGAGCTTCTCAAACTGTCACCCCACTCTGAGCTTCTCAAACTGTCACACAACTCAGAGCTTCTCAAACTGTCACCCAACTCAGAGCTTCTAAAACTGTCACACAACTCAGAACTTCTCAAACTGTCACCCAACTCAGAGCTTCTCAAACTGTCACCCAACTCAGAACTTCTCAAACTGTCACACAACTTAGAACTTCTCAAACTGTCACACAACCCAGAACTTCTCAAACTGTCACCCAACTCAGAACTTCTCAAACTGTCACCCAACTCAGAACTTCTCAAACTGTCACCCACTCAGAGCTTCTCAAACTGTCACCCAACTCAGAATTTCTCAAACTGTCACCCAACTCAGAGCTTCTCAAACTGTCACCCAACACAGAACTTCTCAAACTGTCACACAACTCAGAGCTTCTCAAACTGTTACCCAACTCAGAACTTCTCAAACTGTTACCTAACTCAGAACTTCTCAAACTGTCACACAACTCAGAACTTCTCAAACTGTCACCCAACTCAGAATTTCTCAAACTGTCACCCAACACAGAACTTCTCAAACTGTCACACAACTCAAAACTTCTCAAACTGTCACCCAACTCAGAATTTCTCAAACTGTCACCCAACTCAGAACTTCTCAAACTGTCACACAACTCAAAACTTCTCAAACTGTCACACAACTCAGAACTTCTCAAACTGTCACACAACTCAAAACTTCTCAAACTGTTACCTAACTCAGAATTTCTCAAACTGTCACCCAACACAGAGCTTCTCAAACTGTTACCCAACTCAGAGCTTCCTTGTCACCCCTACTTAGTACTTTCTCTCTGAATATCTAAGCTCTTGGAAGAAGACAACATGACCTACAATAGAATCATTTAAGACAACAAACCTTACTCTCTGCTGCTCTCTGAATATGGAGTGATGATCGAGAGATAGACCGATACTCTTTACAACAATAACTGTACACGGGTGAGCGATTTATAACACAGCTTGGACAGCAAGGCGGTATCCTGTGATTGCTATACATTATAATAATTTACCTATGATTTTTATTTATTTGAAAAGACGTTCACAATTAATGAGAAAATGGTATTAAAATATCTTCATACATCTTTATAAACTAGTAAAAGGAAATGAACAATTGTGCCTAAAAAATACTGCTTAAAATTTAAATTTGAAAACATAATTGTGGTAGTGCTTTACATATGAAGAAAAGATGGGCGTATTCACAAAGAGTAATTAATACATGAAATTTGAAGAATCCCTGACAGGCGCTGGGTACAGTGAAACAGCTCCCAGTGTTATCTGTCGGGGTCAAGAATACACCCTACACAAAATATGACACCGTGAAATAAATCCTTATACTCCTGTATCTTTCTATCAAAGTCAGCTTACACTTGTATCAAAATTAAAGCCTATGTTATATAAAAACCACAGCAATGGATTCTTATTACAACCTGCTTAGTCTCAGAGATTAATGTTAAATGTCAAAAAATTCATCAACGTGATTTATCTAGCAAACATTCAAACCCAAAAACAAATATGTGAAAGGTAATAAAAACATCACCTCTATATAACATCTGTCTATATAGGTCACCTATATATAACATCTGTCTATATAGGTTACCTCTATATAACATGTCTATATAGGTCACCTCTATATAACATCTGTCTATATAGGTCACCTCTATATAACATCTGTCTATATAGGTCACCTCTATATAACATCTGTCTATATAGGTCACCTCTACATAACATGTCTATATAGGTCACCTCTATATAACATCTGTCTATACAGGTCACCTCTATATAACATCTGTCTATATAGGTTACCTCTATATAACATCTGTCTATATAGGTCACCTCTATATAACATCTGTCTATATAGGTCACCTCTATATAACATCTGTCTATATAGGTCACCTCTATATAACATCTGTCTATATTGGTCACCTATATATAACATCTGTCTATATAGGTCACCTCTATATAACATCTGTCTATATAGGTCACCTCTATATAACATCTGTCTATACAGGTCACCTCTATATAACATCTGTCTATAATGGTCACCTCTATGTAACATATGTCTATATAGGTCACCTCTATATAACATCTGTCTATATAGGTCACCTCTATATAACATCTGTCTATATAGGTCACCTCTACATAACATCTGTCTATAATGGTCACCTCTATGTAACATATGTCTATATAGGTCACCTCTATATAACATGTCTATATAGGTCACCTCTATATAACATCTGTCCATAAACATTACGACTATATAACATACATCTGCCCACACAAAACTTGAAAGAACATCCTGTATACAATGTATATATAACATGTCATAACTTATGTATATCTTTCCATATCAATGTGATGTGTGTTTTATAAAAATCAAATGCTGCTACTTCGAACAAAACATTATGGAATTTTATTACTCATTGTAAGAGCACAAATCTGACATAAATCCAGTATCACATGACTGGTGTCATATGACTTCAAATCACAGATACCTTATGTTTTGTGTTGGGTGACCTTTGAACATTCCTGCCAAGGTCAAACTCAATCAGTTGTTAAAATTCTACCCTTTACAGTCACGCAGTTTGCTGTAATAGAGGGGCATTAGTCTCTTTCTCAAGAAACATGAACAGTTGAGTCAGACAATATAAATCATTTTTGATTTTACACCCTGATTTTTCGTTGACGTATTTCTCATCAAGAAATAAAACATCAGAGGAAGTAATCACCAATCTGATCATACACTCCACAGTTTTCCCATCTTTAATTAAATTTCTTAGTCTTCTATACAGAAAGATTTCATCATCAACAGTCAAGCTGGTCTCTATACAGAAAGATTTCATCATCAACAGTCAAGCTGGTCTCTATACAGAAAGATTTCATCATCAACAGTCAAGCTGGTCTCTATACAGAAAGATTTCATCATCAACAGTCAAGCTGGTCTCTATATAGAGGTAACTTTCTTTACTGAATGGTCCAGCTGGCCTCTATATAGGGGTTACCTTCTTTACTGGATGGTCCAGCTGACCTCTATATAGAGGTTATTTTCTTTACTGGATGGTCCAGCTGGTCTCTATATAGAGTTAACCTTCTTTACTGGATGGTCCAGCTGACCTCTATATAGAGGTTACATTCTTTACTGGATGGACCAGCTGACCTCTATATAGATGTTACTTTCTTTACTGGATGTCCAGCTGGCCTCTATATAGAGGTTACTTTCTTTACTGGATGTCCAGCTGGCCTCTATATAGAGGTTACTTTCTTTACTGGATGTCCAGCTGGCCTCTATACAGAGGTTACTTTCTTTACTGGATGTCCAGCTGGCCTCTATATAGAGTTTACATTCTTTACTGGATGGTCCAGCTGGCCTCTATATAGAGGTTACTTTCTTTACTGGATGTCCAGCTGGCCTCTATACAGAGGTTATTTTCTTTACTGGATGGTCCATTTTTTTTTATATTGATGGCATCACACAGAGGCCAAATCATGAGTGTACTGAGTTTGTGTCCAGGAACTTTTAACTGTCAATGATTTTAGAAAAACTGGCAACCAGGCCTTGATAAACTTGTGTAGTACTGACCTCTAACCTTCAGCCAAGCTCATTTGATCACAAAAAGTTTAATTTGTAACACTGTAATAACAATGATACTGTAGGATATTGGATAGCACTACATACTGAGTAAACTTTGAGACAACTGGGTAGTGTTATGTGTTTGATACGGAATACTGTGCAACATCTGTGTTATACAACATACAGTCTACAACCTGGCACCTCGTACACACAGAATACTATTTACAGGAGCAGTTTGAAGCCGAGTATGGGATGTGAAACTTCATTTCGGTCAGCAAGAAAAATCATTTTTGTAACTATATTACATTTAACAGGAACCAGGTCCATTCTACCTAGCTTTGTACGATATTACACCATAAACGATAGGATGGTACAATTCTGATAATGGCTGCTGTCACTTTATCAATAAAAAGTTTTCATGATCGATCTATCATACAGTACGCTATGTGAAAAGGTGACACTCTCCAAAATGTGTTTGAAATTGTGGTGTGGGTTGAAAGTGTGGTGTGGGTTGAAAGTGTGGTTTGGGTTAATACTGTGGTTTGGGTTGAAAGTGTGGTAGCGGGTGAAACTGTGGTGTGGGTTGAAACTGTGGTGTGGGTTGAAACTGTGGTGTGGGTTGAAACTGTGGTGTGGGTTGAAACTGTGGTTTGGGTTGAAAGTGTGGTTTGGGTTGAAAGTGTGGTAGAGATGAAACTGTGGAGATGGGAGGAAATGGGTGGAGATGTTAAAGTAATGATTCTAAGTAATTTTATTAAAGCATAACTTCATAAGTACATTGGTTTTTTTTGACTTAAACATAGTCCAACGCGGATGTAAGCTCAGGTCTCAAACATTTTGTATGATTTTATAAGAAAAAAATTCTCGGTATCAACAACTGTACCAAAGAAAAAAAGACATGTATATATATTGGATAAAGAAAAGCTCGTGCTATAATAGTTACAGTTGATCTTTGCCGAGACACATCTGAAGCATTCTTTGTCAGGTCTGATCACAGAGACGTGGTAGCTAGGTTTCCAACACCATCTTCCATGTGTATCTTTTAATCACAAGCGTTAATATATATAGTGATAATGCACATTCCGACATATTGCAATGTCAAGTGCAGATCCCCCGTAATGTACAGTACTTCTCTCCTAACCTTAAAATTCTGAATTCATGATGACTCTCAAAATTCCTAGTGATGATGAAAGGGTATAAAAAATCACAAAGATTACGAATGGCTTTCCAAAAAATCAGAGAGATTACAAAAGTTAGATTTTGATACCTCTGAAAGTGTGACCGGCAGGGACTGTACTAGTCCTTTAATGAAATTCTATTTTCAAATCAAAAACATCCACCTCTTCCTTCTCAACAACAGTCCTTGAAATCACTTCAGTTGGCTCTCTTTATCTTGTCTACCGATCCCTGAGATCCCCTCCTAGTGGTCCTTCATCTCCTGCCCCCAGTCCCTGAGATCCCCTCCCAGTGGTCCTCCATCTCCTGCCCCCAGTCCCTGAGATCCCCTCCCAGTGGTCCTCCATCTCCTGCCCACCTGTCACTAAGATACCCTCCCAATGGTCCTCCATCTCCTGCCCCCAGTCCCTGAGATCCCCTCCCAGTGGTCCTCCATCTCCTGCCCCCAGTCCCTGAGATCCCCTCCCAGTGGTCCTCCATCTCCTGCCCCCAGTCCCTGAGATACCCTCCCAGTGGTCCTCCATCTCCTGCCCACCTGTCACTGAGATACCCTCCCAGTGGTCCTCCATCTCCTGGCCACCTGTCACCGAGATCCCCTCCCAGTGGTCCTCCATCTCCTGCCCCCAGTCCCTGATATCCCCTCCCAGTGGTCCTCCATCTCCTGCCCACCTGTCACTGAGATTCCCTCTCCTTGCTCTGTATCTCCTTCCCACCTGTCACTCACACAGTGATATAACAACAATCAGTGTGATTAATATCTCACACAGTGATTAATATCTCACACAGTGATTAATATCTCACACAGTGATATAAAAACAATCCGTGTGATTAATATCTCACACAGTGATTAATATCTCACACAGTGATATAAAAACAATCTGTGTGATTACAGTGATATAACAACAATCAATATCTCACACAGTGATTAATATCTCACACTGTGATATAAAAACAATCAGTGTGATTAATATCTCACACAGTGATTAATATCTCACACAGTGATATAAAAACAATCCGTGTGATTAATATATAACAACAATCAATATCTCACACA